AGAAAAAAAAAAAAAAAAAAAAAAAAAAAAAAAAAAGGGAAACAGAGGAACTGTTTTTGCAAGCCCAGAACCAACTGACATAAAAAGGGATTTTATGAAAATTCTCTGAAAATGATTTTATTTTATGATGCCATAGTGGTGGCCAGCCCTGCTCTTCTGGCTCACTGGCTGAGTGAGCAGCAACTGGAGCCTATGCTCTTGCCTGCTCACCAGGCCTGGGCTGGCCTGGTCTGATTTCTGTTCTGCTGTGGTGGCCTTGGAAGATGGCGAGGTGGGAAGGTTTCCTGCCTGGCTCAGAGAGCCCTAGAGCTCCCACCTCCCTAGTCCAGTTGGAAGGTCTGAACTTATTATTATCATCTAGCCATATCCCAGATGTGGCCAGGCCCTCCCACTTCAAAGTACCCAGCTAGGGTAGACTGGGATGCCAACCTGTGGCCTGGTGCTCAGAGCCCTCCCGGATTTGTGAATCTCCTGGGGCTCATGCACCATGACCCTGGCCTCCAGGGCCGTCACTGAGTTTGCAGTCTTTGCCCATCTGGGCTCACTTAGGCATGAAAATCAGCCCTCTTCTCTAGTCCCTGTTCCCAGATCTGCACCGGAGGGAGATTGTAAGAGACAGGCAGGGCAGGTGGCCTTGGGGTTCTTATGGCTGACTTGTGGAAGTGACTGTTGGCAGGTTTTCTCCCCCAAGAGGAGAGGTTGTTCTAGTTCTCTCAGTTTCATTCGATCTTTCCAGCTCTTCACTTCTTGCTATGGTTTGGATTTTGTTTATTTTTTTCAGTAGTGGAGATTGAACCCAGGGCCTTCACACTGAGCTACGTATTCAGTCTTTTTTAATTTTGAGACAAGGTTGCATTAAGTTATTAAATTGCCCAAGGTGGACCCAAATTTGTAACCCTCCTGCCTCAGCCTTCTAGAGTACTGGGGTCACAGACGTGCATCACTGAGCCTGGCCTACAGTTTGGATCTTAAGTGTCACCCCAAAAGGACCATGTGTTAAAAACTCGATCCTTAGCATGGTGCTGTTTGGAGGTGGTGGAAACTTTAAGAGACAGGCCTGATGGGAGGTCCCTGGGGTGCACCCTCAAGGGGGATTGTGGGATCTAGGCCTCCCCTTTCTCTCTTGCTTCGCAGCCATGAAGGAATAGCTCTGCTCTGCCACACGCTTCTGCCCTGATGTGTGACATAGTCCCAAAGCAGTGGGATGGACTGAATGCATAGGCCCAAGGTATTAAATCAGTAATAGGCTAAAACCCCTACAACTGAGCCATATTAACCTTTGCTCCTGTATAAGCTGATTTATCTCAAGTATTTGTGATAGTAACACTCTTCTTTCTGCCTCTCAGTTTCATGTCTGTATGAGGCACTGTTTCATCATCATTATTGAATAACAGCACCCACGGTTACATCTCCATGAGCCACCCAGGCTCACCGGCACATGTGCCTTGCCAGTCCCCTGGGAGTTTCATAACCAGTCAAGCTGACATCATGATTGATGATCACACCTTTCTTTTGCTATCCTTTCCAGGAGCCAAAGGTAGAATTGCTCTTGTTGGTGTTACAGAATATCTTCCTTCCACGGCCTTGGAGATGGAACAAGCTGGATTGCCTTCTGATCTCAAACCCCAGAGGCAGCTTTCCAAACAAAGATGTCGCTCTTTCTAAAAGAAAATTTAGTGACTTCAGTATGCCCTACTTTCTTTTATATCAATGAGGCTGAGGCCCAGGGAGGGGAAGAGCTTGTCCAAGGTCACACAGCAGAACAAGGCCCAGCTAGGACTGGGGTTCAAGCTTGCAGCCCACATTCCGGGAATCTGTCTGCTGTAGGATACTAATCAGTGCCCATGTAGGGAAGGGCTGTAGATCCCTAGATGTAGGGAAGGGGTGAAGGAGAAGGGGTAATCACAAAAGGAATGAGAAGCCAGGAGAAGGGGGGCTCTATTCAGCCTAGGGTGGGGCTCCCCCATGGGCAGCTATCCTCACTGAGCAGACTTCCCCATACCTTTTCCAGGGCTCAGCTCTGTGCTGGGAGCCATTTACAGAGCTGACATGCACCCAACTCTAATGACCTGTTCTTATTTCAGGAGGCACTGGCTGGGAGCAGGGCCGAGAGGCTGAGCAGACTCCACGCAGCGTGCAAACCTTCCAGGACATTAGACGGACACTGGGGTTCCCCTACTGCCACCTGCTGCATGTGGAGAGCTGTTGTTATGGGCTCAGAAGTGTCCCTTGTCCCCTTGGTCACCCATCCCAGTCTACCTGAGACACCCTGCCTGAACTAAGGCTTCTTCTCCAGGGAGTCCCAGAGACGAGTGCTACGGACTCTGGGGAAGGTTAGGTGTCACTCTCCCCTGAGCTCCTGGGTGGGTAGGTGCCAGGGACCTCATTTCTGGGTGTGTGTGTGGGGGACTGGTGTGGAGACGCAGTGCTGGGCCACTGCAGGAAGATCACACCATTGCTGTCATCCTGGAAGACGGTCATGCAGTGGGGAGCAGGGCAGGGCTTCTTTTCCCTCATGCAATGGGGAGTTACATCCAGTTGTGGGGTGGGACAAAGCTCTGGGCGTGGCACTCCATGCGGGACCTCAGTTGGGTCCTACCTTTGCCTGCCTGGCCTGTGAAATTCGGGTGCCAGTGTCTTCCTTGCCTGTCTCACAGGCCACACTTCACACAGGGCAGCACAGATAGGTGGTGAGAAAGGGAATCAGCTCAGCCCTTAGCTACTATCCCAGTTCCAGCACTTTCAAGCTGTGTGATCATAGTCAAGTTACTCAACTTCTCTGTTTCTCAAATATTTCATCTGTAACATGGAGATAAGGACTAGCAGTTGTGAGAATTAAATGGCTCTAGAATTAAATGGTTGGAACATTTCCTAATGCATAATAAATGCTCAGCAAACATTAGCTTTCGGTTGCATTATTGATACCCTTTGTCTGGAAATGGGGCCACCATGTACAGTCCTTATTCCTCTCAGTGGGACTCTGCAGAACTCACTAACCATGGTCTGTGAATTGTGCTGGAGAAAGCTTCTGGGGTTTTATACATCCAGAGACCTCTCCCACTCAACTGTTCAGTGACCCAGTCTCCTTTGCCCCCAAGTTATACGGACCGTTCCTAGCAGAACTTGTACTTGGAGCTAACGGTGGAAGTATGAGGTGTTGTGACACGATATAAAAGATAGGCTTTGTTTCTTCTGAAGGCTTCCCTTCTCTTTCCTTCTTCACGTACTCGTCATTCTTCCATAAGTGTGCAACCCATACAGGGTTGGTGGATACCAACCCCTGTGCTTGGGCTGACAGTACAGAAACACACAGCTGTGGCCCTGGCAGGGGAAGCCAAGGGGAAGGGCAGGTCCATGCATATCATTTTAGCTAGGTGGTCTGCAACAGGCAGGGCCTGTGGGGACTCGTAGGGGTGACTCCCTGGGCCTGGGGAGATGGGAGGCTTCATGGAGGCGGTATGGCTAGAGCTGGGGCATGCAGGACACATAGCAGCCTGGCAGAGCCATACACGTGGCTTAGAGAGGAGAGAAGCCTGGAAGGTCCAGGGAGCAGCACACGGCAAGGAAGGGGGTGGGAGGGTTGGGTGCACTTAGAAAGTCCTAGAAGATGCTCTGGAGCATTGGATTCTGGTAGAGGAAGTGGGGAGAGGTGACTTTGATGCTGGAGATGTGGGCAGCGGCCAGGTCTTAGAGGGTTTCATGTGAACTTTGTCAGTAATGGGAGACACGGAGGAGTTTTCAAAGAAGGGAGAGTTGTGATCATTTTTGTGGATTGTGGAGCTCATTTCAACTGGGGGGATAGGGTACTGGAAGGGGCAAGGAGGTAGGTGGCAGTGGTCTGATGATGGCCTGGGCCAGGGTGGAGCAATCGGATGAAGACGGGTGGGTAGAATTGATATGGGAACAGTCACAGGCCCTGGTGAGTGAAAGGGGCTCCCACAATGAACCCCAAGTCTTAGCCATATTTTAATGCACCTTCACAGCTTCCACTGGCTGGCAAGGGCTATCCACACCTCAAGCCATCAGGCCTCTCTTCAAGCCACCCTCTTGGCCCTGCTAGAGTCTGTGCGTGGGAAATGAGCCCATTGCAGGCCTGGGCACCAGGACACTCCAGGCTTTGCAGCAGGATAATTCCCCCAAACTCCCCGATGAAGGAGGAAGGATCCCACAGCACACAAACACCAAGCTGTCTAGTTTGTAATGGTTTTTATTAATATATTATGCTACAAAAATATTTTTGGCAAAATAACATTAATAATATCTTTCTTTGTCTTCTATTATACTCTTAAAGAACTCTTCATGACAATTCACAGCGGTGAGGGAGGAGGTGATTAAAGAACAACACCATGAGTACCTTCCAGATACACTGAGAGCAGAAGCTTGTGTGGCACAGTGAGGCACGCCGGGGACCATCGGCAATATGTGTGAGCCTCAGGAAGGGGCTGCAGCCTCCTTTGACCAAGAGCTGACCCACCCATCCCAGCCACCAGAGACTCAAAAGTTGAGAGCCCTTTGTCTGGGCAGTTTATGGGAGACATCTTAGACTTGGGTCCATTCAAAGCTCACTTTTCCCACAGCAGGACTTGGGATGGAGGGGTCTGCAAGCCATGTCATCCTCCCTGCCTGCCAAATTCTCCCCCTGTGGTCCTGGGGGGAAAGCTAACCCTGAGCCTGAGGAGGAGGTGAACCGCACCTTCACAGATCCTCCAGACTGTCTCCGGCATCCTCCTTCCTATTCCCAAAACACAAGGTCTCCACGTAACAGATGAGGAAATGGAGGCTCTGAGGGGACAGGGACTTGCCCAAGGTCACCTATCACAGCAAAGTATCTAGAGCACCTCTGGAGAGCAATAGGCCAGTTTACCTTGGAAAAAAAAAAGGTGTGGACAGGGTACTTTCCCTGGAAGGGCCAGGTAGGACCCAGTCAGGTTTTTGTGAACCTTCTCTTCTCTCCCCAAGGTCAGGTGACAGAGAAAGAAGGAGCTTTGGGCTATGGAGGGATCTGGGTTCCAGAGCAGGGCTCTCCCTGCTCCCAGTGCTCTGGGGCCAGCAGGCGACTCTGCCAGCTCACAGCCGGCCTGGCTGGGCTATTAAAGAATGAGGGGGAGGTGGGACTGATTCCTGAACTCCACTGGTTTAGACAGCCAGCTGGGGTGATATTTTTGGCTGCCTAGATGAATTTTTGGAAAAGTAACATTGTTCAAAGAACCTGAGCATTACAGAACCAGGAGGCACCCTCAATGTCATCTACACTAGCTCCTTGCCAAGACTTCAGCTTGCTACCACATCTCCAGCCAGGGGCTCCTGACCCTGCTTTTTCCCCTCCACCAGCAGGAAGCTCCCCACCTGCAGGTGCCACCCTCCATCAGCTCAGGCTTGGTGGAAGCTATTCCGCTAGCAGAACTAGCAGAAAGTCTGCCTCTTTCCTTTCCTACCATTGTGCCTTTCTGCCTTCTCTCCCTCTTTCCTGCTCTACATATCGGTTGAGCACCACCTTTGTGTGGGATGAGGATACAAAGACGAATTCACATGACGTGACTTGACTGTCCCACAAACAGTTGTAAGGGTAGTGGGTATTATGAGATGCTGAGAAAGGACAAAGGAATCACAGGGGGCTTCCAGGCGGAGGTGCTGAGTTGATCTTTACAGGATAAGATGTTAGGGGGACTAAGGGAGCTTTGGTCTAGGAAGCAGCATGTATGATACATCCTGTCTAGTCTAGAAATGGCAACTATGATTCCTTTTGGTCAGGCACAGGGTGGGACAGATGAGACGTGGCTGGCAAGTGTAGTAGGGCCAAATCACGAGGGTGTAGAACAGCAGCCAGTGAAGGATTCAGGTACTTGTGTCACCATCACTGAAAAACTATCACCAGCCCCAATTCTGTTCTGCGCCACACAGGAAACCATCAAGGCTACAACTTCTGGGTGAAACTTCTCTTGTCCTTCATGGTACTTTCTCTTGGTAGAAGGATTTTTTTGTTCCTCTCTGAGACTTCAATGGCCCCGGGCTGGAGGTCGGGCTGGTGGGATGAGTGGCCTGAGTTTCCCAGCTTTCCGTCATCTAAATGAAGCTGGGATGCCATTCAACACGAAGGAAGTGCGGCCTGGGTCTTTCAGAATAAGTACAGCAGAGGGATTCTAGATCTTTGACTCAGCATAAGAAGGGTCCTCAGCTGCCCTTTGTGACTCCCAGGAAGCCTGGTTCTTATACCTGTGCTACAGATGAAGAGGCTTTCCCTGCCTTCATGGCTGCTGGTACATTAGACCAGTCACTAGAGACATGGCCATTGTAACCGGCCCTGGAGAGATGCTTGGCTCTACTGCTTTCCTGAGAGACAGGGGACCTGGGGCCATCTGGGACACATGGTGTCAACTCTTAGACAGGCTGCTTCATACACTGCATCCTGGGCTTCCTGTCTTTCTTGTCTGCCTCAAGGTCAAATATGGAAATGTTAAGAAATGCACATGCTGCTCTCAAAGGAACAGGGGCATTTTACAAGCTGAGGCAGGTAGAATATTCCAAAGGTCTGAGTAGCTGCTTATGGAATGGAGGGGCTCTGATACAGGACGAGAGAATTCTAGTGGCCCCCTGCCTGAGGATTCCTGTTATGTGCCTCAGGTCTCCAAAAGTCAGCAAGCTGAGTTCCTCTCAGACTCTGGCTAGCTGGTTGTCCTCGGGATCAGTGAACTTTGGCTCCACATGTCTGACTCACACTGGCTCTGGTTCTCTGCTCGGCACATGTCTATCTAATCCATTGGTCTATCCGTCTTTCTTTACACATCTTTTCTTACTTGGATGTTTGGGTGAGAGGGACTTTAGAATCTTCAGTCTGCCTAGAGGAGGGGCCTGGAAAGATGAAGACTGAGGCCGAGACAGTGTAACCTAGGACACGAGGCTGCTTGCCCCATCTTGTGAGTGAGTTTCTCTCTGCCAAAAGGGGTGGTTACACTCACTCCACGTGCAGTGAGTCTGGCACTGCATGTGCGCAGTAATTACATGCTGCGTTAATTCATCTTTTTGGCCCTGTGCCTGGCACAGATCTGGGCACACAATCAGGTGCCTGGACTGTTTCCCTGAATACTTCATCTTTAATTAACCTCCAGCTTGTTCCCCATACATCTCAGGCCATACTTTGCCCAAACAGAGGGGAATTGGCCTGTGTGTTTCTAATTCTTTTACACTTATCTCATTCCAATAGCGCTCTGCACATTCCGTTTGATGTCCAACTTCTGAGCCTGCTTTATAAATCTAGCTAAGCCCCATCCTGCTCAGAAATAGGAAGTAATTTCTTTTTTCTTTTCTTTTCTTTTCCTTTCTTTCTTTCTTTCTTTTCTTCCTTTCTTCCTTTCATTTTTGCCAAGGATAAACTGTAGCCCTGACTGAGGTCAACTTCAGTTTAGAGTATGGTGCCCATGGGGCTGGCTGGACCCTCTGAAGCAGAGATTTAGGCTTCTGTCAGAGCTCAGGTTTAAATTTGTCCATTGGGGCTGAGCTAGAAAGAATTCAGCTGCCTGCCAGGTTGCCCATGGGACCTCTGACCATCCAACAAGCTGTCCAGAATTTTACCATTTCAGAAGAGAGGCAGATACCATGGTGGGCATAATGGCACTTGGGCCAATCAGGTGCCATCAAGCTTGCCAGGGGAACCTATGTACAGTGAGGCAAAGAAGCATTGGGCTGGAGTCAGCTGGTTTGTCCAGCTGTGCTGCCTTAGGGAAGTGTTTCTTTCTCTGATTCTGAGTATTACTCTTATTGTTTCTATGATCTGTTAAGTGAGAGGTCTTTCTTGCCTCTAGATCTAGGACTCTTTATGTAATTAGAGAGCCACCAGCCCAGCTAAGATTCAGGGCTGGTCTGGCCCACCTGGGTCTTCAGCGATCACCCTAGGAAGTGGAGGGACCACTGAGCCTTGCTGAGTCTTTGCTGCATATCTCTTGCCACTGGTAGCTGTCTCTTAGGGACTCCGCAGATGTGCCCTACCTTGCCCTCTGATATGGCAGGAAAACCTGTTCTGGATCCAATTGTGAAAAATTGGGCCACTGGACAAATAGCACATGCTACTGTCAGAGTCCTTTGGTTACAGGGACCATCAAGAGCACTGTTCAAACAGTGCCTTTGGCTGGCCTGGGGAGCTGGTCCCAGGGTGGGTGGTGCTTCCCTGCGCAGAGCAGATATGTCAGAACTTGGACCATAACACAAGTTGCACTGGTATCACAATGACCTGAAGCTGTGACCTTGGGCAAGTTCCTTTGCCTCCTTGGGGGTTCAGTTCCCCCATCTAGGAAATGGAGATCATTACAGTTTACAGCACTGGTGTGAGGAGTTATCATGAAGCGAGTGTGCAAAGTACCCACCAATACTGCAGGCTCTGAACAAACGGCAGTTCTTATCGCCATTGTCATCACTGTAACCAGTGACCTTGACAGCCCGTCTCCCTAGAACTGCCCTCTCTGTGTCCACTCCTGTCCTTTGACCCAGCTTACTCTGCTCAGCATGACTTGACAGTCCCTCTGACCCAAGCTGGAGTCATGGCAGTGGAAGAGGCCTGGAGCTACCTGCTCACCTGCTCTGTGACCTTGGGCAGCCCCAGCTCACTCTCACTGAATCTCAGTGTAACTATTCGTTCTATGGGACTGGGGGCCGCCTCTCTTGACATCCAGCACCGCCTCTTCCATCCCACCCCTGAGCTTTGGTTGAAACACAAAACCTAGTGCTCTGGAGGGCCAGTTCATAGATGCACAGGGGTTGATAATAGCAGCATTCTCTTTCCTACTGTGTCTTCCCAGGTCCTGGGATGCATCCCAGGGAGGGGGAGACAGGCAGCATTCACACCTCTGTCTCCTAAATCCAGCTTCACAAAAGCTAAGCACGTCTGCCTGTCCCACCCTTGGCAGTCCCCATGAAGGGGGAGCCAAACCTGACCCAGGAGGCTTTGGAGATCCAGGAGCAAGCCAGTTCAGAGCCAGGCTCAGCACAGGTCACAGGTGTCTTGATAACCTGGATTCCTCTTTGGGTTGATGTTAGGGCTATAGGGGTTATAACATAGGCCACATAAAAATAGTTTTATCGGTAGAATAAATACATTTTTCTCTTTTAATATGGACACATATTTTACAAAAGAGCCCCATAGCACTATGGGAAATTAAGACCTTCTACAAAAAAGAAGATGTAACTTGGGTATAATAAAGCTCTAGTGTTCTAAATGGCCCTCTCTGGACTGCCCTTGAGGTGGTGGCACTCCCGGAGGTGGAGGTGGGGGCCATAGGGGTGGCCGCAGACTCTCACATGGTTTCTCTACTTCTCTGCGTGAGGTGGCCGAGGTCAGGAGGGCCCGAGAGTGTGTAGCAGGAAGGGGGCAGCAATGGTGGCAGCCACGACATCGAGGAGGCCCAGGGTCGGCGCTGAGCTGCTGGCAGGCGCTGGTGAGTCTTGCTGTTGGAGCTGGTCCAAGAGCTGGAAGGGAGACCTGGCTGTCCCAGAGCTGGGGCTGGGCTGCAGGGCCAGTGAAGGCGGTGAGGCAGTGGTGCTGGAAGGGTGGAAACACACGGCAGAGTAACCGTCAGCAGGTTTAGCTCGGGCAGAGGTCTCCTGGGCTCAGATCTGACTTTACCACATTTTTTTTCTCATAAAAATGAGATGAGGGGCTTATACATTGAAGATGAGCCACCCAGAGCCACACAGCCACCCTGGCCAACCCACGGAGGCTGTGTTCCTCCTCCTGTGTCAGGATCCAGGGAGGGGCCAGGCCCACCTGTGACCGATCATGAGCATGGGTCTCAGACAGAAAGAAATCATAGTGTTAGAAATGAGGTGGTGCTGGGAGTCTCAGCTTCCACACCTGTCCACAGGTGCTCCTGCCCCCTGCTGTTTCCCCTCCTAGAGAAGTGCTGGCTTCACCACGCTCATCATCTCAACCATGATTTTCGGAGGATCCCCAAGTCCAGAACTTTACAAATAGTGTTTCTGGCCCTCACAATAAATCTTCACAATGAGTGTCATCACCCTCTTTCAGCAGATAGGAAAACTGGGGCTTAGTGAGACCACCTGGTGCCTAGGCCACAGGGGAAAGTGGGGTGGTACGTGCAGGGGTCAGGGGCCTCACACGGCACTGTGTTGGGAGTGTTAGTGAAATGTAGTCATTCACAAATCACAAACACAGAATTCAGGTCCAAGGTAACAGGTGAGATTTTTGGCTTACGAAAGCTTACATGGCAGAGAGGGGAGGTAAGGAGACAGGGAAACAAGAGAAGACATGACAGGGAGGACAGGCTGTCCTTAGGCAGTTGGAGGAGAAGGACTGGGGAGCAGGAAAGAGACATAGGAAATATACCAAGAAAGAGAGACAGGAGGAAGCAGGGACTAGGGAACAAGCAAAGGGGGCACAATGACAGAGGCATGATGAGGAGAGGCCACAAGGGGAGCCATCTGACAGAACTGTGGGTAAGAGGGACAAGATCTGGGATGAAGAAGGGGGCCAGGACCTCAAGCAATGGCCAAGTTTGCCCACAGATAGCCCCATCAGGCTTAGGCAGGATGGCAGAGTCAGCAGGTATGCAGTGTCGGGGGTACCAGACTCATGGAGGACCAGGAAGTCCTCCTCATGACAACACAAGGAGGCAGGGGCTGCTGCTATCCCATAGTCTTGGGGAGAACCCACCACAGAGGGGTTAACTTGTCCCAGAATAGATGGCAGGGCCAGGGTCTATGAGACAGGTTGGTAGATGAGAGGTGGGTGGAGCAATCTCCAAGGAGTCTGCAGCATGGTGCCCTCCTCCATGTGGGGCCCTGCCTGCTTCCCAGGGCTTGCCTCCATTCCCAACCAGCCGCTTACTCCCTAGATCATCTGGGGGTGCCCATGATTCACCATTTCTGTGCGGGGCCATGAGGTCAAAACAGCTGGCTCTAATCCCTGGGGTGAGCCCTGGAACTGTCTCTACCACAGCCAGCCCATCCCACCATCCTGGTGTCCTGGTGGGTTGCCCCTCACACAGCTCAGGCTCAGCTTGCACCTCAGTGGGTGGCAGGGAAACCTGGAGGTCACCAAACGCATCCCTCCTCCACCGGGTTCAGGCTGGGACCTCGGTTTCGGAGTGGGCACCCAAGTGGTCTTGGGCACCATTTCCTGGTTCAGTGGAAGCCAGGAGACGAAGGGGCCCTTGGCTGCTACCCTGGCTCTTTCCACACACAGGTTGGCAAGGCTCTGGCTGCTAGAACTCATCATATCTCTCACAAGGTTTTATCCAACCTGGTTTCTGCAGGTGTGATGTATCATGATCTTCTGTCTAGAAAGTCTCAGAGGAGCCATAGAAGAAGAGGAGTCAACACTCGTCTCACCCAGAGACTACAACACGGTGTTCCTGAGCAGCATGTGCATGGAGGATGGGCTAGGCCAAGCGGCGTCTATTGGCCCTTTGACCTCACAGCATCCAGTGTATTTTGCTTTCCAGCTGTGTAGCCTTTACCTGCAACCCAACCTGTCGTCTTGCTTCAACCCATTGACCACACCTTTCATGGTTCCCCAACACATACTCTACACCTACAGTCTTGCAGCCCGTGTCCCACTCCCCTTCGAAGGCCTGCCTCCTTGCCTCTTCCCTGGGGGCCTTTATCTGTCCTGTAGCCCTCAGTGCCAGGTGGCAGAGTGAAGGCTCCCACCAAATCTTGCTCATTTCTCGCTGACCTCATTGTGTGGCAGGCATATATCGCACAAGATTTCAATGTAGGAAGTACTGGAAAACTGCTCGGTCCCTACGAGGTGTGAGATGATGTTGGCTATTTTTAGCGTGGTTATTATTTCAGTGTTTGTGTCTCCCTCACTTATGTCCCCGCTTTATGGACCACTTAGTATGTGCTGGGAGGCACTGGGCTCAGCACTACATCGGTGCCATTTTCTTATTATTTCCATTTCCACGATGGGCAAACTGTGCTTGAAGTAGGTGAGGTTTCTTGCAAGAGACGGGACGTGCAGGGCCCACCCCCACCTGCCTGAGCTGCAAGGAAGCTGGAGATGGAGACATGGAGGGTGGGTGTGGGTAAAGGCTGTGGGGAGGGAGGGGCCTGCAGGGGACCTCAGCTCCTGTGCCTGGCAGTAGTCCTTACCTCAGTCTCTGTCCTGCTGTTCCTTTCTAATGAAATGAAAACCTAACAAAACACATACAACACCAAACAGTTCATAAAAATCTCTTCCCTGCTGCTGCCTGATGCTTTGGCCCAAGCAGCTAGGAGGCTGGAAGGCGCAGCTTCAGGGGAGCAGGCTGGCGTGCCCTGAGAGGGGGCCGGGGCTGGGGTAGGTGAGACCAAGCAGGAGCTGTGAAAACTGTGTCTCATAAGGCGCCTAAAGGCATTTTCTTTTACCCTTTGAAAACTGAAGATGAAAACTCTCCCTTGGAGCTTGAGTGGGGTTTTTATTGCTTGGAAGGAATCCCAGGGAAATGAAGTGGGCCTGGGGAGGGGGAAGAGCCCCTCAAATGCCCCCGACTCACCTCCCTGGCCCAATCTGCTCACAAAGCTCAGTGGCCCTGTCCAGATTCCTGCCCCCTCCCACGCTCATGCTGTGGAAAACTGTCTGATGGCAAAGTGGCCTTGAGGCCAAACCAAACACCCGGAGCATTCCCAGGCTCTGCAGAGGACTGGCACTGTGCAGCTAAGTCTGCTCTCAGCCGACAGGGCCTCTGGGACTGTGTGGAAGGCAGAAGCCCCATGCCAGCCTGGGTTATGCTCCTGTCTTGCCATGAGACTGGGCGAGAGCGGTCTTCCAGGCCTGTTTCCCCACATATGCAGTGAAGGATCAGGACAAGACCCAGGACTTTAAACTGTGTTCTAGTGGCAAGAGACAGAACTGGGATCTCAGGCAGAAGCTTGAGGGAGAAAGCACTAAGAAGCAAGATTGGTGCTGAGATACCACGGACAGTCTGCCCCCAAGGTGTCTGCAGAGGGCTGCCTGGAGCAGGGACTAATCTCAGCACTCAAGGTCAACAAGAGAGGTCCAAGTTTAGCACTGGACATTGCAGCCATGACCTTCTTGCCAATGCAAGGTTCTGGTGTCTGAGGCACCTCCTCGGAGAGCTTCAGGTGTCACAGAAGCCTTGCTGTAGGGATAGAGCCCTCCATGTGACCTGGCTGGAGGAGACTCCATGTGATTACTGTCTGGGCCTGGACTCTGGGTCAGACAGAAGCAGAGATCTAATATAGCCACTTTGCCTAACTCCTAATCTCCTACAATCTGTGCCTCAAAAGTCTCTAGCCCTCGTCCCTGGGTCTCCTGTACTGGGAATGTCTTCATCCTTCTCTTGGCTCAAACCACAGGCAGACTGTCTGGCGGGATTCCTAAAAGTTTCCTAGCAGGCCAGAGCTGGAAGGGCCTGTCTATCCCTGAGATGCAAACCTGGGACTCAGAGAGGAGATGGAAATTGCCAGGGTCACCCAGGATCTGAGGTTCCAGAGCTCTTCCAGTGACACCATACTTAGGAGTCGTTTGTCCTCGTCCCCAGCCTGTGCTAACCACAGGACTGGGCAATTGGTATGTGCAGCTATACCCACTACACACAGATGCTCACCTCTGTTAGGCTAGGGTGAATTCACAGCCTTCTGTGACGACCCACTAAGGGGCCTTGAGTAGCTTTCTGCTGGGGAGAGAAGTGGGCAGACCAGACCAGACACTGAGAGTCAAAGGCATCAACATTAGTGGTAACTGTTACAATGTTACTGCTGATCTGATACCAGCTTAGTGCTTTACAGGCACTAAATCTTTTTGCCCAAAAAGCAAATACACGTAGGGGCTGGGATTTGAACTCTGTTCTGCCTGAATTTGTCTGTGCTTTTAATCCTTGGGTGATTCTGCTTCCTATGGGGGCATCCTCCTGTGGGGGCATCTTATACCACTCAGTGCATCCCAGAACATCCCATAAGAAGGCCTGGTAGTGTTAACAGAAGCTGGAAAATTTGGGCAGAAAGGTGGGCCAGCAACAGGAGGTGTACAGTTCCCCTGGACAGGGTGGGGTGAAGAACACTGTGACTTCTCTCCTCTGCTCAAAACTCAGGGGAAACAAACCCAGAGGGCAGTGAGCTTTGGTGCAGTGTGTGCTATACTGTTGCACCTGCTTGCTGGCCCTCACCAAGGCTTTGCATCTGTCATGTTCTGACGCCCACCTCTGGGCTTTGCTTTGGGCCATGCCCAGCACTCAGAAGCTGCTCTTTCTTACACCTGTGCATTATTGCTCTCCTTCCAGTCCTGATGGGCCTGTCACTCTGCTTGCTTATTTATGCAACTCTCCACCTTCAAAGTCCACACACACACACACACACACACACACACACACACACACACACACACCTGTGCTCTTGAAGAGCTTTGGTCCTGGAGGCCAAGAGCTAGCATGATCTCCAGACCCAGCCAAGGCCCTAACTGCAAAAGGAGACACAGAAGGATCACCGTAGAAGGGCCCCATGCAGTATGGGCTGCAGCTCTGTCTTGCCCTGCTCACGCCCCTCCTTGCTGCCTTCCTCTGGCTCGCAGAGGTGGGTGATCCCGAAGAATGTGCTGCTGCTGTGCAGCCATCCTCGAACACGCGCTCAGCCCTTTCCATAGATCACCATAAATCACACTGCCATCGGCCGCTGCTTCTCTAAACTTCCTCTGCTGTGTTTACACTTGGTAATGGGTAAATGAGGGGCTAGGGGAGGCCAGCCTGCTCCAGGTGATGTCCTAGGCAGGCTCTTGCAGCCCACATCCACACCTCACTCCCTCTTCCTTGTGCTCCACTCTGTACCCCATAACCCCCAGAACAGTCAAGTGCAAATCTGGTCCCCATGGACCCCAGCCCAGAAACACAGGGAAGAGTTGCAGTGTGGATGGTGGTGCCAGGACAGGGACTTCCTTGGGGTGGGGGAGGAATGGGGAGTCCAGACAGGCAAAGGTGGGAAGGGTACACTTACATGGTAGTAGGTGACAGATATGTTAGATGTGAACATTCCAGGACTCTATGTGTTCTTAGGCAAGTTTCCTGACCTGGTTGAGTCTATTTCCTCACTCATAAAAATGGGTTGGCCTTTCATGTCTCTTGATAGAACTGGGACATTGTAGGTGTGAATGCCTGGCACAGAGTGGAGCCCAGAAAACTCACTTGTACCCATCCTGGAGTGGAGAGCAGCAAACTTACACGTGCTGGGGGAAAAGACCCTGCAGAACCTGGGGCAGGAGGAGCAGTAGGGGAAGTGGAGAAGGGGGTGAGGGTCCTGCATCTGGGCAGGTGGAACTGGTGGCTGTGCAGAACTGGAAGATCACAAACTGAGCAGGGACAATGGTCAAGGGAAGACCAGGAGACCTGTAGGGCTTCAGGCAGAAGAGGGAGAGGACAGAGAGGAAGGTTGGCTCCCATGGGACTTAGAGGGAAGAAAATGAGGGAACTCTGAATGAATGCCCCAAGGAAAAGCTGTGTTACCGGGGCTACACCTGTGCTCAAGGTTGCCCCCAGAGAGATCTTTTCTGCCCCCTCTTGGAAAGTTGGGGTACCCAAGAGGGTGAAATGCATTCCCCAGGATCCAGAGAGCCCGTGCCCTACACTTAGGCCTCTTGGGGAGCTCAGGGCCTGCTTCCCGATGAAGCAGCCCAAGACTTTTAATCAATAGGCTGCCTTTGATGGAAACTTCCTTCTCCACACTGACCAGATGGAGGAGAGTTAACCAACCACCATTTACTTGTTGGGATGTAGGAGGATTCTGTTGGAATCCTCCGCCAAAGAAAAGCCATTTTCTTCTCCTAAAACGAGGCTCTGTGTTTCAGATCTACATGTTGTGCAAAGGAAACTGGAGTCATTTTCCCACATTTACCTTTCAGATATGGTTAGGGGCTGGGAGCCTGTTGCTGGAGCTGACAGCCCAGCCTCCTGTCACCCTCTGTGGTGGACCTTCTGCTGGCTAGGTCACCCTGACAAGTTGATCAGGGTTGCAAGTGACCAAACTAACTGCGGGTCATAATTAGCTGCCAGCTCCTTCTCTTGCTGGCAGCCTGCAAGCCATTCTCCGTGCTGAAGGAAGTGGCTCTCTGTAACTCTATGCCCCTGCTAGTTGTTAGAAGTGTGAGGGCTGTGCTGGCTACCTGACTCAAATGTGCCCCTGCCAAAATAGCCACAGCAATGCCTTTGCCTTGGCATGAAGGGCCCAGGAGAGCTCTGCAGAAATGTATTTCCAATAACCCAAGTCAGATGCTTTGAAACTAAGGCCAAAAGGCTCAGTGGGTTTGATGCTGATTTTCTGAAAATCTCTTTAAAATGGTGCACACCCTGTCCTTTATAATGGGGTGGACTATATTGATCTTTGATTAGTGGCTGAGTTATCTGGCTGCTAGAGAACCAGAATTTGGGAAGTAGAAGGCAGCCCTGACTCATTGGGTGGCCCAGGCTCTCCAACTCCAGGCCTTGGTTCATGCATAAATACAAATGGGCCTGTGCTTCCCAAAGTTGCTCAGGGGAATCTCCAGGTGCACAATCACAAGGCTTGCTGGGCTCCTGGCGTATGGATTCTGAGTCATGGAGTATGCACTGGGGCTGGGCATTTGTTTATTTGAAAGTACTGAGGTGGTTCTGTCCAGGTTGTTGAGGAAAATTTTGGATATCTGTAAAGTCCACATGGGGACTCTGGCTTCCAAAGGACCATTGCTGAGTCATGAGGTCTAGGGCTGGGCTATTACACAGGGTGGGGCTCTGCCTTCCTTCTTTGGAACATTTCTGATGCTCTGGAAACATTATTTACTATGTCTGGAGATTCTAACCACACAGGGGAATCGAGGGAGACTTCTCTGTATAGAGGCTGCAGGTGGAGGATGCCAGACATTATCCTGGTGACAGCAGGAGCTTTGATAACAGACAGGCCAAGGAGGCAGGCAGGAGGAGCATACAGAAAGAGTATGGAGGGTCTCAGTACATTAGATGGCTTCTACACCTACCCATTTACAGTGAGTTTTACCACAGCGCCCCTGTGACAGAGTCTCAGTGTTTGAGTATCAGTCACCCTCTGTCTCCTCTCTTGGACAGAATGAGTCCCTTCTGCTGCCTCCCTGCCAGGGTGTCCTTGTTCAGACCTTCCAGGCACAGGGACCTTAGGTCCCATGGTGTAACCAGGCTGTGCTTTTTACTGTTAATTTTGTCTCCAGGCCACGGGACAATAAAGTCCGTGGGATACTGATGCAGCCCAGCATCCAGTAGCAAAGCAGACTTAGCTACTGCAACTGGATAAGTTTCTATTTTTTTTTTCACCTTTAAAATGCAGAGTTGTACTTGCTCTTATATTGAGAATAAAACTGCAGGGTTAGATGTGAATGTTCCTCTGTGAGCCTCAAAAGGAACCTTTATGAATGAGAAGAACCAGCCCAGCAGTTTCCACTCAGATCCCCCTGACATGCTTGCTTAGAGCAGGGCTCATCTGGTGCAGCGCCCTGGCCTGGGGATGTGGTCACCTGGCTCCAGGGCACCCCCTTGCCCTAACTCACCTGTCCTCGATGCGGACCCAGAGGTCATTGAACTGCCTTGGCCGCTGGTGCTTGTTCTGCCTCTTGTGCCACTTCTTCTGTCGTCCAAACTCCTCCAGCTGGCTAAGGCTGTCAGGGAGCAGGAGGTGTGGGGACAGTGCTGGATCCTCCTCTTCAGGTGTGACGGTGGGTGTCACTGAGAGTGCTTCAGGGAAGGCAGCAGCTGGGGTTGCTGGGGCCAGGCTGGCTGAAGTCTCCTCAGGAGGGGGCGCTGAACTCCTGGCAGGAGGGCTGGAAAGGGGAACAGCTCATGAATGTGTTATGTGTGCTCAACAGGGAATGTAATTTGCTGGGAAAGTTGACACAGCCAGGGTGCCTCTGCTGGGCCCAGCAAGAGCACTACAGGAAAACCATTGTCTGGGATGAGAGACAAAGCATTCATTCCTTCTTATTTGGCCAATAAATCTTCACTGAGCTCCCATCCTGCAGGAGACACTGGCCTAGGATTGAGTATCATCAGTGACCCGAACAGATGCCACCCCTGCCATCTCAAAGCTCACATTCCCAAGCTAAAGACAGAGGAAACCAGGCAGGATGGCAGACACCCACAACTGCTGAGGAGAACACAGAGCACAGGAAGGCACAAGAGCCTGGGAGGTGGAGGAGGGTGCTGGTCCAGGAAGGTGAGCCCCTGGTTAGGAGGAGATGAGGGAGGATCCCTGGGCATTTCTCTGGGGCATATCTGATCTCAGTCAGGATCTCACTTGTCAGCAACTCTGGCTGAGCGACTGTAGGTGAATTATCTAATCTCACTGTGTCTTGGTCTCCTGTTCTATAAAATGGGGATATGACAGCGTGCATCTCATGTGGGCTTCATGAGGATGATGTAGACAAACACAAGCAAAGTGCTTCTTACACTGCCTGGCAATAGTAAGCATCACAGGCAGCTTAGCAGTCAACGCTGTTTGTACCGATCAGGTTACTTTAATTCATCCCACCAGCCATGCATATGTTCAACACACATCTACTGTGCACCTTTTCAGTGGAGGCAGGACAGAGCCAGGTCCTGACTGCTGGAGCTGGAGGCAGACAGATGAGAAGTTCATATCTGGTTCTGTAACTCACAGCCTATAGGACTAAGGGCCAGCTACGCTATGACCTCAAGCAGCAGTTGGATGTAAAAGGGGAGTGACACTAGTGGTACCTCCTCCATGGGATGTCATAGGGATGGACGAGGTGAAAGCTCAACACAGTGCCCAGTACTACCAATCCTCTTTCTGACTCAGCCAACAAGCAAAAGAACCTTCCTCTCCACAGGCGAGGAAGTGTCACGTGGGCAAGCTTGTGGAATTCAAGTCCCATGTGGGGGTGTGCACATGCGCCTCTCAGTTGGGGGAGTTCCCCTTTCTTCTTTCCTCTCCATGATCCCAGTGGATTCTTCTGGGAGGAAGGTTGGGAATGGTCCTGAGAACTGTTTGAGCTGGCAGCTTGCAAGGGAAGGTGGTACCCAAGACCACAAGCAGCCTGTCCTCCCACTGCACTCTCACACTTCACAATGACTGAGGGGCTTCTTCCTCTTTGAAGGAAAAGAGGCCATCAGCTTAGCCTATCCTCTCCCAGCCCCCATGGCAACCCAGATTCCCAGGGTCCAGGCTGCTGGAGATGCTGCAGCTGTCGGGAGATAATTCAAAACAGTCAGACCAAAAGATAGATCCAGGAAGCACCTGTGGCCGAGGATGGCTTTTATTGTTGGAGCCTCCTCAGCATGCCTTCCCTGCTTTGCTCTGCCAGCTCCCCTGTCTAGGAGGCTAAGCCCAAGAGCAGCACAGCAGAGATAGTGGGGGTGCATTGGGGGACTCCTGCCTCCAATGCCTGGGTTCCAAAATGAATAGGAGGTTCTCCAGCTTCCAGCTTTGTTGGCTTCCTTCTTCCTGTGCTCTGGCTGGCCACACACGATGAGCTTCAAGGGAAAAGTCCTTGAGGACATGTGGGTAGGGGTGGGGCAAGGGGAGCAGAGGGAACTCGAGGAGCACTTGATCTCTCCAACACCCCTGACACTCAGTACACACTGCTTTGTGCTGGGCTCAAGTGATTCCAGCACAAAGAGGAGTCTTTTAGGCTAACCCAGAAGATGAGAAGAGATCCGAGGCTGGGACAGAGTCCCAGTGCCAGGGTGTGTGTTTCCGGAAGGACCACGCAACCAGGAGAGCTTTGGTCTGGGGCTAATGACTTATGTTCTGTGTGACCCCAACTGGCCTAATCTCCAAAGATCAAGGTCACAGTCATCTCTGAGCCCCCATGCCCATCACTGGAGTGGGTACAGGAGTGATCAGGAGCTTAGGAGGACCAGGAGCCAGACTTGTCTCTTACATAATCTTGCCCTCAATGACAAGTTAATGATGCTCACAGTTCCTTCCTTGCGGTTGTTGTGAGCATTAAATAAGATAGAAACACTTAGACCTCAGTACAGGGTAAGTAGCTAATCGAACTCAGGACCTTGCATTTGCGGTATTGGCTATGCTTATTCAAGTTTCTTTTGAACTCTACTTCTTGTAACTTGAGGGACAGGGGCTGAAATCATGTTGTGCCTACCCTTGTGTGCTGGTGCGGAAGGTTCCTGCATAGAATCTGAGGGCCGCATTGAATCCTGAGTTTGAGGATCCTGACCTTGACCCCCACAGCTGCCCAGGACCCAGCCTAGCTCTTATGTGGTGCTGGTGATGTGGACTCACAGGTGGAGCTGGGCCCTCTCCTTGGGCAGCTTCCAGACTTGGGAGGTTGGGGACAGGAACTGGACAGGAACTCCCACAGGAGGAGAGGATGGGGGACCGTGGCTCTGTGAACAGAGTAGGTGTGTGTTGGCAGAAAAGTCAGGAGCTAGGGACACAGCTAGAGTTGGCAATGGAGAAGGTGAGGACACTGTGGGTAGGGCAGCACAGGGAAGAGGTCAGGCTGCAGTACACCCTCTTGGGGTACCATCTGGATTCTGGGTGGGTCATCCACTGAGCCCTCCAGGTAGCAACTCAGGGGCCACTTCCACCCCATCTCCTTAATCCACCAGTGTTGAATCCCAAGCCTCTTGTGCACCCTAGTGCTGCTCACCAGGATTCACTTATGGAATTTGCAGATTTCCACTCTCATCTTGGCCCTGCTGCAATCCCCTATCAAGAGTGTACACACACCTTTCCCTCCACTTTCCCGCCTCCAGTTCCCCTCTGGTTGTGGTGCCTGATCTGGCTTGTCTCCATGAGGTCCCATCTCATCACAAGCTTCTTCACCATTCTACCTGCAGTCCTGTGCAGGAAGGCAGGGGCAGCCAGCCATATGGCGCATGGTTCTGTGTGAACCATGGCCAGGCAGTGGCAGGCCAGCTGGCCAGTCCTAAGATGCCCTCAGATGCCCTGCTGCTTACCTGTCGATAGCCTGTCCAGCAGGTGTGTGGTCCACCTCCAGCCCTGCTTGCCGCAGGACGTCAATGACAGTGTTATTCCCTAGAAAGTGACCTGGAACACAAGACACAGAGTAGGCTCAGCCACGTGCCAGGATTCCAGCCAGTGGGGACACCTTGGGCCACCCCCTGGATTTGTGTTTGGGCTGGTAAGCTTTATCAGTGAAGGCCCCAGACTCTCTGAAAGGCAGTATGGCCCAGTGGGTAGGATATGGTCCTGGTGCTACCATGCCTGGGTCTGTGTCCTGGCTCTGCTGCTCACAAGCTCCCCATCTCTCAGTCGCCTCATCTACAGAGTGAGACACTGTAACGCCCTTCCTTAGGGTTCCTATAAGGACAATAGCTGGCTGGAGGTGAGGCCTCCAAATGGCTTCCTGCTGCATCACTGTGTCTGTCTCCTACACCAAGCTGACCCTGTCCCTCTTTCTAGACTCACAAAGTTCAACTCCAAGAAACCCTCTAGCCCCAGCAGGCCCATAGCTCATCTTCATAAGCTCCACTGGCAAACTGTGCCTCTCTCTGTCAGCATGGGAGTGGGGTTCTATGGGTTCACATGGGTCTGCTCCACAGGCTGCAGGGGCAGAGCTCACACAGCCACTGCCTTGCAAATGCTAGTAACACATTCATCTGTTCATCATCCATGCACCCAGCTTATGTGGAGCACACATGGTGGCCCAGGTCCCGGCACAGCCACTGAGAACTCACTGAGGTGTAAGATCCCAGAGGGAGACAGCATCTACTACCAGTAGCCTAGAGGACGTAGAAAGAAACCATCCCTCCAGATAGGGCCTCCAGAAGTGTGTGCAGAGAGTGGGGCTGGTCTCTCTCACCACCCCACTCACTGTTCATTTGTCCCACATGTAGGACATGCTTGCTCTGTGGCGAGCTCTGTGCTAAATACAATGAACTCTGAAATGGGTAATTTAATCCAAAGCCCCAGAAGACAAGGAACTGGCCTTCCTTCACTGGGTAGGATACAAGCACCAATCTGGGAACTCAGGAGAAGACTTTTGTGGGTTCTGGTTAGGAAGACTCCTTGGGAGGCCAATGCCTGTGGACAAAGGTGCCCCTGGCCTCCCAGGTCTCAGTCTTCCCATCTTTCCGGTGTGAGCAGGGTCAGTAGGAAGACCCTGAGGCCCTCCCCATTGTGAGTCTGCCTTGCAGCCCCGCTTCCCCAGGCGGCATTCTTTCCTCCTGCTCACGATTCATTTCTGAACCTGGCGGGGAATCCTGCCCCATGACTCTGATTGCCTGTGATAGGCGCTGACAGGTGGAAAGGAGGGAGGTCAGCATACTGACAGCCCTGGGGAGGAGGGAGGAGGACAGGAGCAGAGTGGACAAGCTGGTGGGGGCTGCAGGCTTCCGGCACAGAGGGGGCAGCGGGGCCTGCACAGTGGCTGCCACCTCCCACACCTCCCCCAGCCCAGCCATCTTTCTCTTCCAGCCTGCCACAGTCCCTGCAGTCACATAAGGGCATCGTGGGGAGAGATCACTGGATTGGGAATGGCAAAGGGTTCTAGCCCAGGGCCTCCAGTGCCCTCAGTTTCCTCTATGTAAGAGGAAGAGTGTTCAGGGACCCCTGTAGCTCAGTCTACGGGGGAGGTGTTCGTTTGACTCTAGACCTTTATGAAAAGACGTTTCTCTTCCCTTTCCCTGTCTGACTGAGAACATAGCTAGTGCTAGACTCAGAGAAAAGTATGAACAGCAATAAGGTGAATAAGAACAATGCAGAGGGAAGCACAGAGGCTGTGAGGGCACCGAGGAAGACGGCACCAAGCCAGCTTGGGGCAGGCAGACTTCCTGAAGGAGGCACTGGTAGTGAGAGGAGGACCGGGGGTGTGTGTAGCACTGGGCAGGATGCTCTAGGCGGGCGGAACAGCATGTGTGAAGCCTAGGGAGTGGGAGGCACACGTGGGACACTGGCTGCAGGGAACACACGCACAACACAAGCATGGCCAAACCCTTCCGGGCTCTGGCATTGACCTTGTGCAGCTGAGCACAGAAGACTCAGGCCCCTGCCAACCTCCAAATCTCCCCTCAGCCTGTGATCCTTCCCTGCCACTAGTCTCTGCTTTGCCATGTGCCAGACGGACCAATGACCCTTTGACCGCTCTTTGAGCAGCTGTAAAGCTATCCTGAGGCAGAGGAGTGGATGTTCTTTGGAAAGGCCAGAGTGCCATCCTGAGTGATGAACTGAAGATATCCTTGGCTTGGGCTTAGTTGGGCAGGAAGGACACAGGGAGTAGCAGCCCTCAGGCCACAGAATGCCTTCCGGCAACACCTGGCCTCTGCTCCAGCAGCTTCCGCTAAGACCTGCTCTTAAAGACCTGGGTCTTCGTGGCTCAACGGCCTCTACCCAGAGGATCTCAAGAGCCAGAAGAAGACCCAGGGAAGACAGAGAGCCTCAGGTGCCCTGGAGCAGCAGGAGTCTTTTGACTGCTGCATGGCCGGGCCCTGTCTAGGGACACTGTGAGAGACCCACACCTTGGCACAGCCCTGGAATGGCTCTGACCTTGAGAGCCTCGCAGGATGCTGCTGGATCCTGAGCAACCTGTGGCAGTGTTTCCATGCCTGCTCAGTGCTCTGAGCCATTCACTCAACCCCAAGGCTTCCAGACATTACTGGTCTCCTTAAGACCCAAACAAAATACTTGAGGTTGTGGCAAAAATGGAAGCAATCATTTTGAATTCCCATCCTTTCTTTCTCCTCCAAACCATGCTGTCTCTCTCTCCCCTTTGTTGGGAAGAATGGTGCCCATACTGTTCTTCACACAACTCTGGGATGCAATGTTCCATGCAACTGTGCCCTGGGACTGTGTGGTGCAAGCTGTGCATGCCCAGCCCACGTGCCCACCACTCACCTTTTCTGGGGACCCCAGAGGGTAGGTGACAACTGCATCTTCCCAGTGCCCACCCTGCTCTGCTCTGCCGTGTGCTTCTCACGTACCCTCCCCCCTCCAGCTGTGCCCTCGGTGGACTCCTTTTTCCTGCCCAATAAATAGGAGGGGGCTGAGTCTCTTTCCCTTTACTGACACCCAGGTACGAAACCCCACCCCCTCCCCATGTTCAATTCCCATTCCCTTGCCGATGCTGTGGAATTGACCTAGGCTCAGCTCCCTTTGTCCATCCACTCATGGCAGCTCTACCTAATCCTCCACAGAACCCTCCAATGCAGCTCGCCCTCTCTCCAGGCAGGTCCGGGGCTCCCACTGGCCCTGCTGGCCCAGCCGAATCACCCTGTGTGGACTCTTCTTCCTCCTCATCCTTCTACAGTCACTCCTATAGAGACCCTGATGCTACCTCCTGACACTCAAGCCTGTGCCAGCAGGGACCATTCTGTTCTCGCTCGTTTCTTTTCCTCATTGAAACCTAACGGACTGGCCCACTGCCAGAGCTGACAGCTGGAACATGCTCCCAAGGAGCCACCTGAGGGAAGACTGGGAGCTCATTAGGGCCTGGGCTAGGCCTGATTCATCTGTGTCCTAGAGCTAAGCCTGAGTCAGGCACACTGCAATACCCTGTAGTGTTTGTTGAGTGAATGAGTGACACAACCTCCTACTCCGTATCCTTTCCATGGTCTCATCTTATCCCCAGGAGACTCACTGGTGATGCTCCTTCAGATTCCATCGATCCCAGGAGCCTGGCCCTTGCAGCAGCCCCTGAGCCAGGGTCCAGCGCATGCTGTCCTCAGGGGCTGGTAGACAGTGCTCAGGCTTGCCTCCAAGGTCAGAAATCCTGAAAAAGGGCCACACCCATCCTGGAACCTGCAGGAAGGTTGTGGAACGTTTCCAAAGGGCCCCATGGTGCTGGGGCTCAGCCAGCCTGGCTTGTCCAGGCTCCCTGGGTCTCCTGGCCACTGCTCAGCAGCTCTCTCCAGCACTGACTTCCAGCTGTTCTCTGGCCAGCACTCTGCAGGAAGACATGTTCCATTTCATCTGCTGAGGCTGCACAGACAGCAGCAGCAAAAGAGAGAAAGGATCATGGGGGGAGGTGTGTGGCAGCGCCTGCAGCCATGGAGATGAAGAGGGAGGTCAGGAAAGAGCAGAGAGATCTCAGAGGAGCAAGGGAGCTCTGGGAAACAGATGGACGAAGAGGACAAGGGGAGGTGGGCCAGAGATGGGCCACAAAAGAGGGTGGTAGGAAGAGAGGGGAAAGGAAAGACAGAGACAGAGACGGAGACAGAAACAAGGACAGGGCAACAAGATGCAAAGGTGCAGAGATGGAGAGGGAAAAGGGGAAAAAGAGGAAGAGGAGAGGATGAAGAGAACCCAGAGGCTAGAGTGAAGGGCGTGGTGGAGGACAGACAAGTCACTGAGGCATCAGGGAAGGCTCTCTGGAGGAGGGGTGGGTTTGGTGGACTCCAGGATGAGTCAACGTGGATGGAGATGCATGGGAGCACAGGAGGGAAGGAGGAGGCCGGTCCAGAGGGCACCGCAAGTCTTAAAAATGGTGAGGCTGGGTTGGTGCCTATGTCTTTTGAGATAAGCCAGGGTCCCACTTAAAGGACTTTTACAAACAGGAAAAACTGCCATGCTCAGTGGTTATAGGCCCAGTGTGCTTCAGAGCAGAGAACAAAGTTCATTTTTACTGGGTGCAAACAGGGCTGTGCCAGAGCACAATATCTGGGGAGCAGAGTGCAAGGCAGACCTAGCCCTGACCATCTGCTGGGCACACTGTGGTGGCCCTCAGTGACCCTCTCCTGGAAAAGGCAGGTAGGACAGAACAGGGACAGAACACCTGGCTTATCAGCTGACTGGGTGGCCTGGGCAGGTTCCTTCCTCCTCTATCTCACTTTCTTCACATGGTCCTAGGCTTCATGGTCTCAGTCTTTGAACCTCTACGTTCCATCACGTGGTGACCACTGGTGCAAGGTGCTTCTCAAGTGTTGTTTCATTTCATCTTTGTAGCAGCCCTTGGAGGTGCCCTCAGTCTCTAAATGAGGAAATGAAGGCTTGCCCAGGGGATGGGACTTGCCCAAGGTCACACAGCTGGTAAGAGGCACAGCTGAGCATTAACCCAGAAATGTCCCAGTTCACTCCCTGCTCCAGGACACCCACTGTGAACTATTGGCAGCTTCAAGAGATCCTGAGTTCATGTCTGGGGGCAGGAAACTGTCAGAAACTCGTGTACCTTCCAAGGTTCAGCAGATTGAAGAGAAAAGTGTACAGCTCTCTCGGCAAGAACAATACACCAATAAACAGGGCAATTTCAGGTCTGTTTTGGGGGCTGGGTGGAGGAGGAGGGAGAACCAGATGTTCCTACCCAGGCTCCAAAGAACTGCGGGCTTGCCTGGGCCAACACACATGTTTTCTCTCCGGTGAGTATGATGGGTTTCCAGTTTTCTCCTCCTGGAAGAGGCATCCCAAGCCCATATTTACGTTCCATCTAAAATTAATGCAAGGGGAACTTTTAAATGTGAATCTCACTGCCAGGGCAGCCTACCGGATATCAAGCTACGGTAGGGTTTGTTTTCCCAAGGGAGTGTGACAGAAGGGTTGGATGGTGGGCCAGGGGAGGGCTAGACAATTGGAGGCACCCAGGGCTCTGGTCTCCCAAAGGGTGTGTGGTGGGTAAGTGGCAGACCTGACCTGCACCTTCTTCCTATTCTCCTGCTGGCTTAGGACAGAGCTGGGTCTTCTGAGCTCAGTGAGGACTGAGATGACTCCACCTCTACACCCAACTGGCGCCAGGAACTGTGCATCCCCCAGGAGATGACCATGTGGAAGGGCAGGCAGACCCTAGAGCAAACACAGGACTGATCTGTGCAGTGATGGAGGGGAGCCAGCGACCAGGGGGCCGAAGAGAATGGGGTGGAGCCAAAGGAAGGAGAGAAGGGCACAGGTGGCAGCCCAGGCACAGAGCAGAGAGAGACAGGTGGTGTCTGCTGGCACCAAGATGGGTTCTGCAGTTGGATGGTAAAGTGAGGTGGGCTTCTGGGAAGGCTGGGGCACAGGGGATGAGCTGTGGGATTCTGAGTGCTGCAGGACAAGGTGAAGGGACACCTGTCAGCTGGGTCCTAAGAAGGAGTGCTCCATCCCTGGAGGCATGTAAAGCTGATCAGTGCTTGTCAGACTGTGCAGGTCAGGGCATACTCAGACATCCTGTAGGGATTGTGATGTCTGGGTAGAACCAGAGCCCCCTCCCCAGCAGCCCTTAGTTCCTGTTCCTCTTGGAGGCTGCTGGAATGCAAAATGGCAGAATCAATAAGCCCTAGGACGTCTGTGCCAACACTGCAAAGGTAGATGCGAATCCCAGGACAGCAGCCCTGCCTCCCACTTGTCCAGCACTCAGAATATGCCAAATGCCTTGATTTTTTTCTCATTCAACCTCCCAACAATCCCGCTCAGGGGAATGGAATCTGCCTCATGTCACACAGGCAGAAAGGGGCAGAACTGGGCTGCAGCCAAGGAATGGCATGGGTTGTGTCTGTGTCATGGTACTCTGCGCAGGGGTTCCCTCTGGAGCAGCGTCTGCCCTGGGTCCACTGTCACCTGACTGATGGTTGCCCAGGCTGGGTTCCGCTCAGAACCTCCTCTGGGTGTGCGCTTCCTCTTAGAAGCCCTTCTTCTCAGCTCTTCTAAAATCCTCAGGGTTTGAATCTTTCATTTCATTTTATTTGTTTAGAGGCCAGGCAGCCTCCTGCTTGTGAGTGTCCCATCCCAGGGTGATGATGCATTAGCCCTGGAGGTTACGATCAGCCTGGGCCCCAAAGGACCAGGGACCTTAGTACTTTCTCCCCAAGACTTTCCATGTCAGACCTGTGCCAGGCCCTGGGGATTCCAAGATAAGTTAAGGTGGCCCTCTTTCCTCTTGGGTGAGACTTCTCCCAAAGTAGGCATGGCTTTGCACAGGACAGAGCTTATCACGGGTTCTGTGACTGCAGGGCTCAGTGCCCAGAGTAGGCTTCACTGTGGCCAGGGAATCACTCTTTATGTCATCCAGAGACACTTTTCCTCAAAATACAGTACCTTAAGACTTCCTGTTGGCAAGTGACAGGGCAGGGACAGAGGCCTGCCACCTCTGAGCCTCATGGTTGCCTGGGGCTGACCCTGGCTGTTGAGATTTCCCGCTTCTGCCCTCCCCCAACTTGGGGGTCCTTCTCTTTCCTGAGCAGGAGTCCTGTCCTAGGAGGACTGTAGGCTCTTGGGATAGGTTCTCCTGAAACAGCAATGGTAATACCAGAGGTCACGAAGATGGAGTGAGGACGCTGGCCATGCATGTAGTCCCAGCACTCTGGGAGGCTGATGAAGGAGGATCAAGTTCAAGCCCAGCCTGGGCAACTTAGCATGACCATGGCTAAAAAGAAAAAAAGGCTGGGGATATATCTTAGTGAAAAGGCTCTAGGTTCAGTTCCCATATCAAACACACACATACACACACACACACACACACAAAGAAAAAAGAAAAGAAAAAGAGTGATGGTGTCATGCCAGTCACCAAGCCATACAGTGCTAGCCTCTAACTCCCAGGCTTGTCTCAGAGGGGATCTGAGGGCCAGGAGACAAAAAGTAGCTGAACTGCCCTCCGTTTAGCTTTGAAGCTCATCCCTTTAATCCATGACCTCGTCTTTTCTTTCCTTTCCCACGCTATCCAGCAAGAATGTTGAGCCCAGAACTGTAATTCACAAGCCCTTCTCTACTGACAGCACAGCTCCGAGACACAGCCAGGACACTGGCATTCTGCTCCCCTCCACTCTCCCTGTTCCACAGAGGGACCACAGAGGCAAACTCGGAGGAGATGTTCCTCTGGCTGGATGGATGCTCTGGGCTGAAAAAGGGCAGGTCTCTGGCCAGGGCTTGCAGTCCATAGCACAAGTGCCAGCTGCCAGATGTCCATGTGCTGGGGCGGCGGCAGGGCCCCTTGAAGTGTCGTCCTCAGAAACTCTGAAACACTTCCTGAGGCTGTGGCCTCCAGCAGCAGTTTGGGGGAGAGTGGCAGGCGGTGGGTGCCCAGGAGAGGGGAAAGCAGCTTCTGTGTGCTGCCTCTCACCCTTAATGCTTCAAAGACCCTGAACCGGACCCTTTAATGATTCATAAATATGATGCTCGGGCGTTCATGCCATCACGTGAGTTGTGCCTCCCTTTATACCTTGTTACATCATAAGCCCATTAGCCGCTTGAAGTAAAACATAAAATAAAATAAAAGGTCCTGAGTGGACCATGGCTGTTCTTCTGAGACCAGCCATAGGCTCTGAGGCACTCCCCTTCCTGAGCTCCTGAGTGGAGAACCGAGGGGAGAAGGAGGTGGGTGTAAGTCTTAGTCTGAGGAGTGGAGAGACCATGAGAGTACCTGGAAGGGACATTTAGCAGTGCTGTCCTTCTCCAGGAAGCATTCTCTGACCTCACCTGCCTCCTTCTGTCTTCGTTAGCAGGCAGGGCACTGCTGGGGCTGGGCTGGAGGGGCCTCAGACACTGCGTCCTCTAAACCGCTCACCGTGCAGATGGGGCTTGGGAAGGCTCTGAGAAGGCCACACAGAAGTTCTCTGAAAGCACAAAGTATGCAGGATACCAGGTGCTTCCCCCTTCAGGCCTCATGTCCTTGACTTCACTCTCCCTTTGCCCTTCTTGATTTCCCTTCTCTATGATTCTCTCTCTAAACATCTTGCCGCTTCCTCTCCTGAAAACCTCTCCTGCTTAGCATTAAATCCCTCCTGCTCCAGCCTCTGTCTCTACGGTTTACTCAACCTGGCCTGGGACTCTCTCTCTAGTGGCCCTTCCAGCCTTATTTTTAAAAGGGCAGATCTGATGTTGCTAGAGTTCCCTCACCTCCCATCAGGTACAGCAGACGTGGGTCTTAAGCCTGATTTTGCTGTGGGGTGATGCAGGGGCAGAGGACAAATCCGCTTACAGACTTTAGGGTCAGTGCATTCATTCACTCAGCAAGTGGGTAATGAGTACCTTCTCAGTGCATGAGTAGAGTAGTAAGAGGGGAATCCTGGACCACTGCTGGGCCCAGCAGAAGAGGACAAGGGCCTTCTCAACGGAACAAAGAGCCCAAGCAGCCTTTGGATGGAGTTTTAGGGAGTCTTCCCATCAGGAAGAATGGCTTAGGGAACCACCGCCATTTCTTTCCAGTTCTAAGATCTGACTTCTAAGCTGCACCTCCACACACACGCTTGCCAAATGGAATAAGAGGTACCATGCTGTCTCTCTCTGGGAGGAACTGAGGATGTGGGGGTCAGATGAGCGGATGGATATGGGTGTTCTTCAAGGAGGCTGGTGTCCCTTCTCCAGGGAGCCGTGCAATTGGTATTAATTAAAAAGATGTTAATGGTGTTTGGTATGTTGGGCTTATATCTCTCCCCACAATCAAGTTTGGATCTTTATCACCAATTTGCTCATTTCCTTGGCCCAGAGGCGTAGTTCTGATCATGGGTCTGCAACACTTCAGCAAGAAACAGGTGTGAGGCTGGGAGCTGAACAGACTGCGTGCAGGTGTGCAGGGGTCACAGATGAGGCACTTCTGTCTCCAGTGCTCACACACCTGCCTTTGAACTCTTCAGTTTTGCTTTCTCTCTGGACTTTCTGCCATGAGGGATTTGTAGATCCCGGAAAGCTCTTAGTTGCATCTTTCTAAGAAATCCAAGAGTATTCAAAGCAAACTATTGTAGAATGTTAGAATGCTTCCATGCTTGAATGTTATTAGAACCTGGTAATTTTAGAAAAATATATTGGCTGGGAGGATTTGGAGATGTCACAAGTTAGAATTCTATTCAGACTGTAGTCTGCTGGAGTTGTAGAATGTGTAATAGCCCCTGGCTGTCAGATTTGGCAGTGAATGGGCCCTAGAGTTTCCCTGGCCTAGCCCTGAGTTTTTTTTTTTGTTTTTTTGTTTTTTTTTTGGTACAGGGATTGAACTCAGGACCTTGTGCTTTAGAGGCAGGTGCAGTGCCACTGAGCTACCTCCCCAGCCGGCCTAACCCTAAGTTTGTCTGGCTCATGTCTTCGGTCTAGATCCTTTAATTCCTATATTACTGATTCTATTCTCAGGAAAAAAAAAAAACTAAACTAAAAACTGGAGGATTCCTGGATGGCTGAATAAGTAAAGATCCTGAGAAAACCCATTTCCTTGGAACTAGGGATAAAACTGTCATTTTTGTCTAGTGCTGGAGACAAACACTCCTGTCCTCCTTCACAAGGCCTGTGACCCAGGAGATACCATGTGACTGAACAGAACGAAGGTGATGGTTCTGATGTCTTTCTAGAACATCCACCAGGTGTGAGAAACCCTGTGGCCTGTGGGCTCTGTCCACGTGATAGGAGGTCATTGAGCAGTGGGTGCTGGGATAAATCAGAAGACGGGCCTGGGGAACAACATCTGTCTTTAGACCTTGGCTGTTTGGTGTTGCTGGAGATCTTACAACCTGAAACTTTACAGGGTCATGGGCCCTCCTTCCTCGCAGACAGAGTGGGGGCGTGGTAGGCATGTGCCTGAAGCCTGATCTATAGCACCTACTAGATCAATCTGGACTCTTCTCCCCAGGGTCTGACGTGGTCTTATCATTCTTTACAGCCCACACTTCGAGCAGATACTACTAGTCAATGACAGCTGGCCCCTGAGTTAAACTTCTATTTAACTTCCTGTCTTGGTCAGGTCTTGTGTCCACTCTCTTGCATTTATAACAAATGTTCTCCTTTCTTAAAACCAAGAACCCTCTCATCTTCCTCCCTTTTCTGTGCAGGTGGCTGTACCTCTCACTTTAGAGTGGCACCATGATTGGAAGCCATCAACTGGGAACCTGCTTGCTTTTCCACCTTCAAGATACCTGCCTCCTGGCCTCCTTCCTCTTTTCCTTCCCTTTAGTTTCAGGTGAAGAAACTACCTGAGCTCTAGTCCCTATTTTCCTGCTTTCTTGGAACATCTCTCTTCCTATGAAGCAAATTCAACCATTCTACTGAATTCTTCCATCATGTTTTAAGCATGTTCATTATCTTTCAACTTTTAAAAAATGGTGTATAGTGGTGCATTCCAATAATCCCAGCCTTCTGGCAGGCTGAGGCAGAAGGATTATAAATTTGAGCCCAGCCTGGACAACTAAATGACTTAGTGACACCTCATCTCAAAATAAAATCGAAAGAGCTGTGGTTGTAGTTCAGTGCAAAGCACCTAGTTTCATCCCCAGTATCAATAAACATAAAAATAATAAAAAGAAAGAAAAATAGTGGGGATAGATATAGTAACTAGCTTTTCATTTTATTTTGCCTAGTAAGGACTTTGAGATTCATTTCTGCCTTCTATCACCATCATTTTTTTTGTTGTTTTGTTTTGTTTTGCCCCAGGGATCGAACTCAGGTTCTTGCACTTTGTGAGTCAGGCAGTGGAACCACTGAGCTAAATCCCTGGCCCGATCACCAACATTTTTTAAGAGGATGTTTTAATTTCAAACACTGTAAAGGAGATAATTTCAGAATGTAAGATAAAACTGTATTATAAAAAATTTACCATCATATTCTCATTTTTTTTACAGTTACTTGTAGATCAGAAGAAATACAAGGACACCCCCTCCCATCTCCAAGTGATTGAACTGCCCCTGTCTTGCAAGCCTCAGCTTTTCTCAATGCCTGGGCCAGCTGGGAATAAGCCTCTGTCCCCACAGGCCAGCACACCCCATCCGCAGAGGCAACCTGCATGTCCCAGAATACCTGGGCTCGCACACTGGCCACAGCCAACTCCCAGAGCGGTGGGGCTTCCACCTGAGCCCCAAATGCTACTCTGGCCAGCTCTGAGATGCACACTTATACCTCAACCACCTCTGAAGCTGCTGAGTCACCGCTAGAAGGAGTCATGGTGCCACACTGCCAAAATATCACAGAAACTGAGAAGAGTGTTTTTCTTGAGAAACGTCACCTAAATAGATACCCCTCTGCATACAACTGCCAGGATTTCTAGATGTATTTGGCAAGGATGCCATGTGCACGACAAATGGCCTGGCTGCGAGGCCAGGGTTCAAATAAAAGTTCTGCCTGCATTCGTCCCTTCTCCACCTTAGCTTTCCCCTGAGAAATGAGGATATTGTAATAAAATTGTTTAGTGGTGTTGCTGAAGAGTCTGGAATGGCACTTAGGAAAGGTTTTATTCTAAGAGTCACTCCATCGTGATAGACAGTTTTAATCCTATGATCTATAATGAGTGAGTCTTGCATAATCCAATGAGGCAGGCATTATCCTCATTTTACGGACGAGAGACTGACGCCTTAAGGTGAACGGATTTCCTAGGTGCCCTTGCCAACAGCAATAGTGCCACGCTTTTTACCTAGGCCTCTGGACTCTAAGACTTCCTCTATGTACTGATGTCCCTGGAGAGCAGCCTGAGGAGGGCCAGGCTATCTTTCCAGGCTCCCAGAGCGTTCCGAACCTGGGGCAAGTAGGGGTGAGTCTTAACAAGGCCCGGAGGAGCCAGGTGGAGGCTCAGGCTTTTACTTTTGCTTGCTGGGTTCCTCCCAGAACTGTGGACCACAAAGCATTCAGGGCTTCTGCTCAACCCCAAAACTGGGACTGTGGTGAGAAGGCAGAACTACGCAGGGCCTGGCTCAGATACCTGCCAAGGTCGGGATGCTGGTGGCTGGGTGTCTTGTGTGAGCACATCTTTGCTTCCTATGAGACACCCATGGGGTCTGGCTTTGAGAAACCAAGAGAGAGCACATACACCCCTAGGGCATGCTAGGTGTCTTCCTAGCAACATAGACCCTGGCTCTCTTCCACAGCCTCGGAAGTCCTCTGCTTTCTCAGAGAACCTAGTAGGAAAGGGGCCACAAGAGGCCAGCTAAGCCTTCTGCTTAGCCATGTGGAGAGGCCTGAGATGGACCTGAAGAGGCAGCAGACAGGAGCGAGAGGAAAGGATGGGGTGACTGCAAGTGGCAGTGTATGGAGGGAGTGTGTGGCCTGGCCCTGCACAGAAATCCTGCAGCCTGTCCTGTGGTGGGGACTCTGGAGTGACAGTTAGTATGTATGAGGCAGGTGGGCTCCTCAGGCTCAGATTACGTGTGGACACGGGTGTGCCGGGACCAGTCTACTGACTTTAACAGGCCTGCTCTGCTGGTGTGGTGCCCTGCACATGGTAACACACAGTCTGGGGCCTGTGGGTTGGTCGTGGATCCGTCTCCAGCTCAAGTGAGCTTTGCCATGCTGCTGCCTTAGTGGGCCTCAGTTTGCCCATGGCTATAAGGAGGCGGGCAGGCTGTCAAGTCCCTGGGTTGAAAGATTTGCTGCACAGAGTGAGCCACTTGTTCCAGGTGTGGCTGAGCTAGGAGAAGCAGCAACCACCAGCAGGCAGAATCTGCACATGACTCCAGAGCTGTTGTTTATGGATGGTGGGTGTCCCAGAGGGTCCAAACTAGACTCACTGCACCCTGACTTTTTTACTACTCTTGCCTAATAAGTGCACTAGGCTCAGAGGAGGCCAGGATGGGAGGCTGTGCTCAGTGTTCATTCATCTGTTGATTCTTTCACTCCCTCACTCTTGCTCACTCACCAGGTCGCCAGGACATGCTTCCAAAGACAGTGATGATTAAGTGGTGCCTGCCCCACCCCGCTGCCCAAGCAGGGAGACAGCACCATTCTCAGGCCAGTGTGGGAAGCAGTCTGGGGGCTGGAGTTGATGGAGGCTCGGACCAGGGCAGTGGCAGGGCAGGTAGACAGAGTGAATGGTGGGTCTGTCTGGTGTCTATCAATAGGACCAACTAGCAACTGACTGAATTTTGGAGACTGAAGACCCTGGATCTGGGCACGATATTTTCAGGCTGGCCTGGTGCCTGAATGGGCATTTATGCCCCATGGACTTGGTGTTTCAGGAAAAAGAATTCAGTGTCCAAGGCTGCCCACACTGCTGGGAGTTTCATTTTTACAGTCTCAGCTTCTGCAACTATAGAAGGGAGCTGGCTCTAGGGATCTCTGGACCCAGGTGACTCTGTCCTGGGCCCTGGGGCAGGCAGGGCTGGGGGTTCACCCAGTCAGGTGAGGCAGCTGCTTCTCTTGGTGGCTATACTCCCTGGAGGCTCCTTCCAGGCCCAGGAAGGTTGACTCAGGGTGGTTCCCGAGTGAGGTCTGTTGAGGCTGTTTTATTGAAGGGTGAGCTGGAGGAGTGGGGAGGGTAGGTCGTTGGTGACACTTCCCTGAACAGGTCCTCAGAGCTATCCTGCCTCATGCCAGGCCTCTGGCAGGTGTCCCACAGCAAAAGGGTGGCCCTATTCTTTCCATGATTTCAGTTCTGCTCCTGCTGGCTCTTCCAGAGCCCCCTTCTCTGATATCTGTGTGTGAATAGCCCCTGCAATACTAGAAAATCCAAGCAAGTCCTTGCTCTTCCTGTTCAGATGAGGCTGTGAGAGGGGAAGGGACTTGGCAGAGGCCATTGTGGGCCATGGAGAGCTCCAGTGTGAGCCCAGAACTCCAGCTGAGGTGGCCTTGACAAGGCTGTCCCAGAGGGCTGGTATCCACATCGGAGTCCCTCCTATGTGCCTCTGCCGTGCTGAGGGGCTGTAAAAGAGGGAATGGTGGCCCAGGTGGCTGTGCCTCTGGCTCCTTCCCTTGGAGTATGTGAGCTTATAGGAAGCCACAGATGTCAAACAGTGGACATGTCTCATGATGAAATCAGATGTCTACGAGGCCTGCTGGATTAGACTGACTGCGGGATGTGGAGGGTGTATGTGGCTGACAGACCAAGAAAGGAGAGGCAGGGGACAGCGGCAATGTGTGTGGTGCCAGGCATGGTGAGCACAGCTATCAGCCATCTCTTAATTCTCAGAAGACAGGAGGTGAATCCTGTCAACCCAAATGGCTGGCAATAAGAGCAAGAGCCAAGATGGGCTTCAAGAGTACCCTCCACCCCATTCAGGGCTCCAGTGGCCTTGGTCATGGCTCTGCTGAGTGTGGCCATCTGGGGCTTGAAGGAGCCATGGAATCCTCCTGGATTTGGGGTCACTTTCCTGACCTACAGGTATGGTTAGTGAAGAACCTTGACCACACTGGGGAGTTGCTTGGGCCCCAGAGCTGCCACCCAGCACTATGTGGTTGTCCTGTGCCCTTCTCAGACTTGGCTTTTCCTTGATAGAGTGGAGGTCAGGGGGCCAAACCTGCTCCAAAAGCGAAGAAGCAGATCTTGTCCTCATTCTCCCGCAGCAGGGCCATGACCCTCTTCCCCATGCGCTCGTTCCTCTTGTAGATGAGCTCCTGGCGGAAGTAGCTGTCGATCTCCTGGGCTGTCACCTGCTCGTGTGGTGGGAGGGTGGTGTTGATAAAGTTGGGCAGCTGCAAAGGCAAGACAGAGGCTGCCTTCAGTTCTTGATGGGTGGGACAAGGTGCCCGCTGGACAGGATTGGCGATTTACCTTTCCTGGGCTGATAGAACATCCTGTTGTGTATCTGTTTCTCATCCATCCCCAAACCCATTGGGATCAGCACTGCTGCTCCTGCTTTACAGGCGAAGCCAGCAAGGATGGAGAAGATCCCAGGACATGCAAGTGGAGTAGCAGAGCGCCCAGCAGCTGACTCCCATGGACGCCTCCCTTGTGTCTGCCTTGCGTCAGTTCCCAGAGGCTGAGGTCCAGGCAGGCTGGGAATCCTTAATGGCTCTCATTTCAGTTCTGAGCCCAGCCCTGGGACATGCCAGGAATTCAGATCAGCAAGAGGGTATGGAGATCAGCCAAACTGCCTGTTATAGCAGGAAGGCCATAGGATGGGATGAGGCTGACCTGGGCTTCAGTCCCTATTCTGATGCTGCGTTGTGCTGTGCTGGGTCAGTAATTCATTTTCCTGAGCCCTAGTTTTCTCATTTATAAGATGGGACTGAGATTATCATGAAGATTAAATGAGATCATATGTGCTGCTGAGGGTGCCACACTATAGAGATGCGAGGAGTCATCACCTATGGTTTTTCCCATGTTAAAGTTATCATCTACCCACCCTTGGTTCCTCTACCTCCCAATCCCTTCTTGAAAACTAACTCCAGGACCATGGCAGTGGAACCAAGCAACTTTCCTAGCTCTGGGCCCAGCACTATCACCCCACTTTGCACACCTAGCCCCATGGCCTGGCAGCTGCCTCATGGGTGTGCTCTTGACCTAGGCAGAGGGCTCCCAGAGTTCAGGGATGGAGCCTTCATCATTCTGGGTCCCAAGTGCTCAGATGGAGCCATCAGGGGCCCTTGGAACTTGAACAAGAGGTCATGTTGCCCCTTCTTGACCTCAACTGCCCTTCTCGTACTCTTCCCTGCCAACATTTCATCCTTGCAACCGGGATGGCAGATCCAGGTGTTCCTGCATCACCTCCTCTAAAACACATGTGAGGCCATTAAAGAAACCACAGGACTGAGTCAGAACATATGCTCTCTCTCATCACAACCTGTCAGTGTCATTGCAACTTTCAAGCTGTTGCTGTCAGGATGTCTTCCTCCTTTTGTTCTCTCTTCTATTTCTCCAACTCCCCTCCCCCAGGCACACAACAGAAGACACCAGGGCTAACTGGCTGATGGACAAGGTTGTTGGATGATGTTGACTAGTTTCCTGCAGGTTTTAGCCCCTAGAAGGGTCGAGCAGCCCAATCACACGGCTTCTAGAGTCACCGCTGGGCTGTTGACATTCTTTCAGATGAAAATGGAGGAGGCAACAAAGGCTGAGGAGACCGAGGCATCTTGTGTGTGCTGGCTGAGGTTCAGTGGGTTTCTAAGTAAAAAATACATTTTGGGCTCCTGTTAGAAAAGTAGGATTCACTGTCTAGATGAATGAAACAATGATTTGACTGGTGTCTCCTGAACTTGCACAGTGTATGGCTTGCATGAGTGTATATAGGAACAGTTCGTTCCCACTGGGCCTGCAGAGAGCTGGTGCCAGGAATTTTTTGTTTGTCCATTAAGATAAATACAGCAATGAGCTTATTACCATCTTTGTCACTTCCCTACTAAGGAAGGGGTGACAGGCCACTCTGACAAAACAGGTCATGCTTACTTGATCCAGCTATAGAAAACACCAGAGGTGTCTGTGTGGGAGAGGAAACAGAGAGGCCATGACTTGAAGTGTTATTTGTAGAAACATGACTCCGTAGGGCCACACTCCATTCCCCGGTGTGGGTGACAATTTGAGACCATGTTATATCACAAATAAATATTTGTTCAGTGAATGAGTGGCTGAGTGAATGAGCAGAGAGGCAGTGGAAACAGAGAGATTAGGCAGGTCCTCAATATCCGACGGCTGGGATGACTTAGATTGGAATCCCTCTTTTGCTGATTACTAGCTGACCTTACTAGAGAGTTACTTGGCTGGTCAGAGACTTAGGTTCCAAATTGGTAATATCAGTGAAATATACACTGTCATAGGGATTAAATGAGTTTTTTTTTTAATTGTCCAAGCTGGGCTCAATTTTTTTTAATTTTATGAAACAAAAAATTTCATAATCAAATAATAAAGGAATAATAATAGTTATTATCCTCTGAATTTTTATCTCCAAACATGTTACTCAGAGTACAAGACATAAACCAAAAATATATTCTTACAGAAAAGAAACAGATAATAACACAAGGTTTCTTTTCAATGAACTAAAATAAATTAGTAGTATAAATGAAATTAATTAGCATATATATTGAAATGCTTTTTAAACACTGGAATTTGTATTTTGAGGAAATAGCTAAGCTCCCTAATTTCTATTTCTATTTATCTCTCTTCTATTTTACTCTCTATTCTCTCTCCCTCTCTCTCTCTCTCTCTCTCTATATATATATATATATATATATATATATATTTCTCATATAAGACAAACTATCTGATATTTGAGCTTTTGTGTCTGACCTATTTCATTTATCATTATGTTCTCAAGTTGCATCCATTTACCTATGAATGCCTCAAGTTTATCTTTCTTAGGGCATCACAGTACCCCACTGTATATAAATAGCATATTTTCCTTATCCACTCATCTATTGATGGACACATATGCTGTTTCTAAACTATTACAAATTGTGATGCTATAAAATGGGTATACATGTGTCCCTGTAATATGATTGCTATGAATTTTATATAGATATCTCCCCAAAGCCTCATGTGCTCATAGGTGGGCTTTTCAGGGGTGGCTGGATCTAGGGTATGTGAATATGGTATAAGGGTGTGTGATAGCTAATTTAGTCTGCTGATTGGTTTAGCATAGCTTTGTGTGTGCATAATGGAAGCCCCACCCTGGGTGTGGGTGACACCAACAAATAGGCTTGTAATCTGGGTAGAATACAAAGGGAAAAGGAGGCTCACTGCTTCTTCCTGTCTTCCCTGCCATGGACTGTTTCTGCCCTGCTATGCCCCTCTGGCATGCCACCCTGCCTTGGAGCTACTGAACTGGACTGAAACCTCTACAAACTGTGAGCTAAAATAAATCTTTCTTCCTTTAACTTGTGGGTGTTGGGCATTTGGTCCCAGAAACATGTAAAGTAACTAAGACAATGTGATTTTAACTCTTTTGATATCTAAAAGGGGGAATAGCTGGGTCTATCTAAGTTTTGGGAACTGTTTAGTATAGTGCATATCACAAAAGAAGTCTTGAATAAAATGTCAGCACTTACATACTTGGCCTAGGGCAGTGATGGCAAACATTTTAGAGAAAAGTGCCCAACTTGCAAACCAAAACCCACTTAACTTATTGCAAAGTTCCACTACTGCAATTAAACCTGATATTGTGGTTTTAGTTTAGGAAAAAAAAAAAAAAACAAACAACTCCTACATCAACATCTTTTGTTTTAAAAGAAAAAGAACACACCTGCCATAGGTTTACCACCACTAGCCTAAGGGATGGAGCTGGCTTCATCACCTTCCCGTGCAATGTCACAGGCTGCTAGGAAAGGGTGGCCTTGGAGATAACAAACAGACTCCCATCAGAACCAGCAGAGATCCAGGCAGGTAGCCTTTTGCTTCCCCTTCCCCTCTTCCAAGGGTCCCTAAGATCTGTAGATGCACTTGACTCTCCCTCCTGCAGTTCATGACCAAAATGTGCACTGGCACAAAGATGTATCTTCACTGATTCCATAAGGAGCTGAAAAAATGGAAAGGAACAAGAACCAAAGCGTTAAACTTTAAATCCATGAAAGAGTTGGGCTAGATACTCAGGTTCTTCAGTCTGCCCCTTTGCAGGTTTGATGCTGATGGGCCATGGTCCTGTACCAAGGATGGGGCCTGGATTTGGGCCAGGGTTGGGATGGATGCAAATTAATGATGTCATTAGGCCTGTCAGGGGCTTAAATCTCCCATGACAAGTTTAATTGCAGGATGCATGATAACGTTTTAAACGAGGACACATAAGGTCCCCAGGGTCCCAGAGAGAGAGGTCTGGGATGGAGTGACAAGGGGCAGAGCAAGGCCAGAACTGATGATGAAGCTCAGGTTTGCTCATGACGCAGATCTCAACAAATCCTTTCCTTTACACATCCATTCATTCATCAGAGACCTGCTGAGAAAGTCCATGGGTCCAGCTCTGTGTCATGCTAAGGCCCAAAGAGCATTCTCAAATTGGGTCTGTTGCCCTTGATGAGGCTCACAGCCCAGAGGGAGAGTCAGAGATGCCTGCAAGAACACTGTGGGGTCCAACGAGGAATGGGGAAACCCAGGGGCAGGGATGCTGATAGTATGGCCACAAGTCTCGGCTTATCCAGGACAGCCTATGTTCATGGATGGAGACAGTTCCACATCTGCCAATTCGATCCTGAACTATATTTCATTGTCAGAGGGTCTGAATTTGGACCACGACACATTTGTGGCTGCTTTATACTTCAGGTTGGCTGGGTGGCCCAAGTCCGTCTTTCCAGGGTAGCTTCTGAATGGGCTGCCTATGCTGGGCAGTGCCATGACCTGGGGCTGTGGGGCCAGGGCACAGTCACTTCTGAAGGTGAGAAGAGTGGGCCAGGAAGATAGGCAAGCCAAATGTGAGGTGTCACCAGTATGATCAACCTGGGCCCTGCATCTGTCTTACCTTCAAAGGTCACTTCACCATCCTTTATGCTGTAGCCTGAGGCATTTTTCTGACCACATCACCCACTGGCCTGACTCTCCAGTACTTCTACCCTCCCCAGACTTTCTCACCCCTGCACAGCCTTCCTCTACTTGCTAATCACATTTTCAGGAGTGACCCTCCCCCAGTTTGCTTGGCTTAGCAGCCCATGCCTGTGTCCTCATCTTGTAGATTCCACTCTCCAAAGCCCTCCTGATTGCAAGCAGTGTGATCAGCCCTGTATCTTCCATATCTTCAGCTCCTCACAGACACTTCAAGGCCTCCAGCTGCAGATGCAGCCCTACCATAGCCGGACCCACATGGTCCCCAGTTTTAGCCCTGATAGCCTGACAATGAGCTTCCCTCTTTCCTGCAACTGGGACCAGGGTTTCTCCTCAGTAAGGGGCCTGATCCTACCTGTGCCCCTTGTGTGCATCCTGGAGGGGGGGCAAGCTGTGCATCCTCTCTCCTGCTTTAGGTGCAGTAACTGATGGAGTTCCTGACTGCCAGGGACGAATCAGTGCTTCAGTCTAGCTAAAAGAACGTCTGAGCTTGCCACTCCCACCCTGTGTCTCCCTTTCTTTGCTTAGGGTCAACTGCAGACTGAACAGGGGCTCCCCGTGGCTGGCCACATCACAGCCAGCTAATTCTGAGCTGGGGTCAGGCCCCTCTTCCACAGAGCTCCCCTGGCTTCTCCCCCAGTGAATGATGCAAGGCAAAGACCTGCCACAACGTGGGTTACTAGTGAGAATCCCACAACCATTATGGTGCCAGGGTTCTTCTGTCCTCCCTCACTTCTTGCTGTGGAGTCTCCTGAGCCTCCTGCAGCTAGGCCTCCCACTCCTTCCTCTTTCACCCTGTAAGCGGCTCCAAGAACATGGAGCCTGTACTGGCTCAGACCATCATGGCTCACTGACATTCTCTGTGCCAGGCTCTCGGGTGCCCTTGGCAGTGGGGACCTGGAAATGAGCAGCACACCCTTGCATTCAGGAAAGCATGTCCCGGAGGTGAGGGCAGCAGACACAGACAGAACATCCTGGTCCTGGCCCTCCATACCTGCAGCCTGAATGAGCTCTCACCCCACCCCCCACCTGCTACCTGTGTCTGGCTTGTTTGCACACCGCGTTCTCTGCTGGGATGTTCTATCTCCTGTCAATAGTCAACTCCAGGTCTTTTGTGGCCTCTCACCTTGCAGGCATCTTTCTTCCTGGCCCCAACCCCATCTGAATTAGCTGTCCCTGCCATGGCCCTAGCACTTCTGCTGCTCACTCCAGCAAGACTCAGAGTACAGTGCTAGGACTTCTAGACTCTTCTGGCTCCCTGGGGAGAAGGTGAGCCGCATCAGGGCCATTCTCTCTGGTTCCCCACCACACTCCTCTGCATAGCACTGGGCCTGGCATTGACAACTGATTTCACCCATTCATCCAGCCAATATTTACTCAGTCCTAGGCTGGGCCTGGGATTAGCCAGCTGGGAGGTATCAATGAATAAACAGACCCAAATCCTGCTCTCATGGAGCTCTCATTCCAGTGGGAAGGTGCAGACCATAAGTAGTCTCTAGTGGACGCATCAGGCATATATCAATCATGTGGGAGGATCTTCCAGACCACGGCAAAAGTAGAGAATAATGAGGAAGTGAGAGGGTGGGAGTGGGGATCAGGCTGCAGTTTGAACAGGGTGTATAGGGCAGCCTCACTGAACAGGCTTTTTAAATAAATGTATGTAGGTGGGGAAGTGGTCCTGGAAAGGGCATTGGGTACAGAGGGCACTGTTAGTGTGAAAGTGGAAGCAAGTGAAGCAGGGTTCCCAGAACAGCAAGGAGTCCTGAGCAGCTGGAGTGTGTGTAGGAGGAGAAAGCAGGATGAGAAGGGGTAGGGAGCAAGGACAGAGCTCCAGGCACATGGGCCATTTCAGGGTCTCTAGCTTTTACCCTGGGGGAAATGGAGAGCTCAGGTAGTGTCCTGAGAAGGGAAGTGGTTTCTTTAGCCTAATTCAAATGCTTCTTGAATGATTGGCTAGTCAAGCATCACTACAGAGGAAGCGAGGACCACAGGTACCTGGGGATACTTAACTCCATCCAGGTACCAGGAAGGCATCTCAGAACAGGTATCATTTGATCATGGCCGAATGGGAGAACCCAGGGGAGGGAGGAGCCTGGGAAGAGGGACCGAGGCAAGAAAGGAGCAGTTGCATTAGGAGAAGAGCTGATCCTCCATAGGTTCCCAGAACAAGCAAGGCCCATGGGATGGGAGGCCTGGGCTGGGGCAAGGCCAGCCAAGGTAGGTCCCAGAGGGCCTTCAATGTTGGGTGAAGTGTTTTAGAATTTACCCTGTATCCCTACTGGCTTAATGGTAATCTTTCCTCTAGGACTTAGATCTGGGCAGAAAGCCTTGGGCTGGACTCAAGTTCAACCTCAGAATAACCATGGGCTTTCATCTCCCTAGGCCTTAGTTTCCCCAGATGTTAAACTGAACCTTTGAGAGGCCTCCCTGGTTTTACAGGCTAAGCAACCAAAGTCTCACACCCAGAGTCACAGAGACCGGCTCAAGCTGCTGCTCTTGATAGCTCGTTAAAACAACAGCTAATAAACTGGGCGGCCTTGAGCAATCTCTTCCCTTCTCTGAGCCTCAAGTTTCCCCATCTGTAAATTGGGGCGGGGTAACAATAACCCCGCTTCTCATGGCTGGAGAGGATACATAGGTTTCTGTGGGCCTGGCTTGGAGTCTTTATAGTTGGTGTCCCAGAGGCTGTTGGAGGAGCCTCTGAGTATGGAGGAGCCTCACCTGGGAGGTGTCATGGTTGAAGATGACAGCATTGAGGTCTCCACAGTTGTAGTGCTTGATGAGGTCCTCCGTGGTATAGGGCGCCTGTAGGCTCCCGGCCCGCACACTCTCATGCTGCAGCAGGGTCTGGTTCAGGGCAAACAGCACCTGTCCAAGGGAAGAGAGGGCAGTGAGGGTGGTGCTCAGGGCTGGCTGTCCTCCGGGATTGGCCCCCCTCACTCTAGACTTGGATGCAGGACCCATCACCAGTTGGCTCAGCGAACACTTTCACACTTTCGCCTCTACCCTCCACTATGGGCACTGGTACTTGCTTTGATCTCCAGCTCTTGTTCACACAGGCCCCTTTCTGCTCCTGGTCTCAACAGTTTATCTGATGATGGACAAGGAAAGGACCCTGCTGTGACTGGGTCTGAAGTGTTGGGTGAGTTTTTCTCTTAGTTCCTTTGTGCTGTGTGCTTAGAAGTACTCCGAGATAAGCAGCATCATTCATTAAAATTGCTTGTCAACAAAGCAAAACAAACACAGGAATACACATAAACAGAAGCCCAGTTAGGCACCAAGGCCTAACCCAAGGGCCTTCCTCACCCGAGGAAAGCCTGAGCGTCTGGGTCCTCTGAGTCTGGTCCACATTCTCATTCATCAGGTGTCTTCTGTCTTATGGCCACTGTGCCTGGCCCTGGAGATGCAGCCAGCCCCAGCCAGATCTTTCATGGGTCAGAATCATCCAGAGTGCTATGCAAAAGTCAGGCACTGAGGTCCCACCCTCCAAAATCAGAATCTCAGTTTTCCACAGGCTCCCTGGGCATTTCCCGAGCAGCACAACTGGCTGCAATATTTGAGGGTCATGACTTTTATGGTGCCTGGTATACAAAGGCCCTGAAAGACTGTCTAATCCTACACTCCCATTTTAGATGGGCAAACTAAGACTCAGGAATAAGAAGGCACTTGTTCAATCCATAAAGCTAGAGCTGGAGCCGCATTCATGGGACTAAGTATTTCAGAAGCCTTTGGCCAAGGGGAGGGAGGAACCAGATCATTAATGATTATTTATCACCAGTGTGGGGAAGAATTTGTGATCCCTATGCAAAATGATAGGAAGAGATCTTAGGCCTTCTATCCCTGCTACACCCCAGCTGCAGCCATTTTTCTCAGTCCTCAGGCTCTGCTCATTCTGTTGGCACAGTGCCATGGATAACAAGGCCCCAAGCTCTCAGCTCATGCCTTTCAGGCCCACACGTCTCCCACTGGATCCACTGCAACAGCTCCTCCCAACACTCCATGCTCTTCTGTTACAGTTATTTTTTGAAAGGACAAACCAGATAGCTTCATTCTTTTTTCTGCTTTGTCCAAAATGTTCAGCATCTCTCCTGTCTTCAGGTCATACAGGACTAGCTTTCAGTAGAGCTCCAAGACAGGCACCTGGATCCCACTATGGTCAATAACCTCATATCTTACATGGCCTTCATGCCTCTTGTCATGGTTTAGATAAAAAATGGTAACCAAAGCTTCATTTTTAGAGGTTGATTGGATCACAGGGTACTATATTGAATTGATAAATGTGTTGTTAGAAGGTACAGCCTGGTGGAAAGAGGCAGATCACTAGGGGCATGACCTGGACAGGTATATTGCTTTCCTGGTTCCTCCCTTTTCTCTCTGCTTCCTGACCATTGTGATGTCTTTCCTTCACCTAGGCTTTTCCCTCTTGCCATTTCTGCTTGGACCCAGCCACCCAGGGACTATAAAAGTGAGCCAAAAGAAACCTTTACTTTATGAGTGTTGAGTATTTTGTCCTAGCAAAGAGAAAGTGACTAAGATACCTCCCAGTAGTGAACCATTCCACATTGTTTAAGCAAAACAATCTTTGGCCCTAGTCCCTGTGTATACTCCCTTCTGCATGCTCGGAAGATCCTGGCCCTCTATTTTCTACTTTCCACTTGAAACTCTACTTGGCTACCAAGGCTTCACCCAGACTTCCTTCACCCAAGGAAGTTCTCTGCCCACCTGGCTGGTAGCGTAGGCTCCTTCCTTTGGCTCCCTGACTCCCTATGGGTAGTAGCTGAAAGATTAATAGCCTCCAATCTTTACCTCTCCCTGCTCCCATGCCCCTTGCTGTGGGATTTTGTAGCTCCCTCCCATTTTAACTTTGGACTCTTTTCAGTCAATGGGATGGCACCACTCTACAAAATATGTAGGGTGTCTTAGTTACTTTTCTCATTTCTGAGACAAAATATCCAACACCTACAAGTGAAGGGGGGAAAGGTTTATTTTAGCTCACAGTTTGTAGAGGTTTCAGTTCATAATTGGCTGGCTCTAAGGCAGGGTGGCATGGCAGAGGGGCATCACAGGGGAGAAACAGTTCATGGCAGGCAGAAGGCAGGAAGGCAACAAAGCAGTGAAATAGTGAGAAAGCAAGCAGCAAGTGGCCATAGCAACCCCCTTTCTGTCCCTTACATTATATCTAGGATACATGGCCTTGGAGCAGGTAGCACTGAGCCCAGGGTGGGCCTTCCCATTATCCACACTCAGAACTATGCCAAACCCATCAGTAGACTAGTTTAGTAATTTACATAATCTTAATTGTAGCGTCACATACTCTGGATCCAGCCCCCTCTGCAGTAGCCCCATCTATGACTACATGAAGCTTTGAGGGGGCATCTCGACACAAGCTACAACATAGGGCAAGCACTTGGGTGCTACTGCTGCTTCACATACCTCTGCCATGGCCCTGAGAAGAGCATAGGTCAGCCTACTACAGGATGAGACCTAGCCTAACTAATAGTTGGTGATTCCCAGACATGTGAGCCCAGGAAGATAAGCAGAACTTACTCACGGTTGCCCTAGCTGCATGAGCAGTAAACTCCACTGTTGTTACACAGCATAATTATGATGACAGGTGATTAATGTGCTATACTTCCTTCCACCATGGTGTCAACACTGGCTTGTCATTGCTGTTTAGCTCCAGCCCCTCAGTAGGCTATCAGCTTCTTGAAGTGAATATTTGCAACTTTTTTTTGAAACTGTGCATTCAGTATTGTGCCAGGTAAAGAAGATGTTGCTCCTTCCCTTTAGTATCTTGACGTCTGATGGTGGCCACTTCATAGTTCAAGGTTACTTGCTAATCAAGAATAACCCCTAGAACTGGGCATTTCTATCTGTGTTTTGAGGCAGGATAATGCCATGTGGCAGAACTTCCAACCAAGACACACAATCTGAATTTTAAGAAGCTCCTAAAATAGGTATGCATGCCATGGCCAAACTGCTGACATAGGCATCAGGGCCAAGCTTGAGCTTGTGAGAGCCGCTCCACTCATCCCTCCCATGTTGTTAGTAGCTAAGCAGGAGAGCTGGATGTATGGGATGCAGAAGCCCAGGGTGCCCTCCCTAATGAGCTGGCTGGAGATGAGGTCAGACCTCCACACCCACGCCATCTCAAGGCCTTCTCCAGGACCTTGGGATCTGGCCACCACCACTGAAATCTGATCTGCAGCCATCTGGTGCAGGGTGTCGATGGCAGCATGGTGGCTGGGGATGGATTACAGGAGGCAGTGGCCCTGTTCCTGTGGACACTGCTATGGCAACAGGCACTTCCTTGCACACTCACATGCCTTGTATGAAAGTGACCATGTCAAACTGATTCTGTCTCCTCTGAGGGCCTTGGACACAGACTTCCTGTGACTATTCTCGGCCTCTGCATACACCTGCCTGGCTGCTTCTTGGATCTGCTTGGCCAAAGCACAACCTGAACTGCAGTGAGCTCATTCATTCTCTTAGGTGTCAGAAGACCTGGCTGGAGAGGAAATGGCTCCCCTGGACCCTTCTTAACTCATGGAATCACTTCTGCAGTCATGGCAGCTGGGAGGTGTTCTAGAGGATTAAGTATATTACAATCTGTAGGGTGTTAAGAACAGCCCTGGCATATAGTAAGTGCTGAATATGTGTTGGTTAAATAAAACTTAGTAGAAGATAGACCCAAACATTCCCAGCTTAGAGCTTAGAGCACGGAGGGACCCTAGAGGTCATCTCCAGAGGAGTTCAAACCATTTTTAGCCACGTAATCCTTTTCTGTTGTTGTTTTCCAAAGGAACTTTACTTGGAACTCTAAATGTGGAGTAGATAAAAATGGTAACTTGGCTGGTTGATGTAAAGGAGACAGGCTGGAGCCTGAAGTCAGGCCAGGTCAGTGTCCCCTGTATCAGGGACTCCATGGTTGGGTACCCTGGAGTCCAGTTTGAGAATCACTGATATCCTCCTACACCCTCATCATAAGAAAGAGGAAAGGAGAGAGAGGTCCCAGAGCAGGTAGGCTTGCCTAAGATGACATTGTGAATGGAGGCAGAGGGGGCTCAGTCTGAGTACCCTGACCCACAGCTCAGAGCCCTCTGCAGACTGAAGGCTGTGGTGGGATCTCCAGATGTCCGCTGGCACTGTCCGTGTTTTTCCACACCCACTATCACACCTATTTTCTTTCTAGACCTCTATGAAATAACCAGGAGTGTTTAGCATTGGTGCGCTGCATGTAGGAAATTATGACTAGGCCATTAAAAGGGCCATCAGTGTGCCCCATCTGGAGAGTGACAGAACTAGGACTGAAGCCCGTCACTCTAGACTCTGCCCACTTGGGTGGGATTTCGTGTCTCCACAGACCCCTGTGCACAGACCACTCCAGTGGCACTTATCCCACTGAATTGTCCCTGTTCCTTCCTCTGCTCACTGTTGAAATCCCAGTGCTACCACTCAGGAGATACTGCACTTGCACTGAGTCCATTCTGTTCCCACAAATTGTGTGGCCTTGGACAGGCCTCATCCTACTGCTTTGGGACCTCTGTCTCCTCCTCTCTGTCATATGATGAGGATGACTACTCAGGAGATGCTGCCAAAGGAAGGATGGTGAATCTGACTGAGTCTGTGCCCTTTGTAGTTATGAAGAGGTCTCCTCCATCCATTCATTACTGGAGTCTTTAGTTTATTAGGGACTTATGTGTGAGGAATTTTCTAAGCTAATTAATTATTTAATCTTTACAGCAACTCTGAGAAAAAAAATTTTTTCTTTAGGCAGCAAAGAAAGATTAAGCATGTTGTCAAATGGTAAATCCAGAGAGAGGTGAGGTGGGCATTTGGATCAACCCCAAAACCTGTCTTCTTAGTTA